GTGCACGTGACCAATAAACGTTGATTTGTTTTGTATATCACCACTAATTTGATACTGTACTCTTGAATGTCTAGGTAAAGATTGACAGAATTGACAATAAGGAAATACCTTCCTTACTGGAAAATCTGATGAGATAACTGTTTGATTGCACCTCACCCACCCCCTGAAGACTCCCATATGGAAAAATAAAATATTAATATTAAAACCCCTTGACTTATTCCAACTTTTGTTGCGTTACAGCCTGAATTACATATATATTTTTCTCACCCATTGATATGAGGGGTTTATACAGTGTTTTAGGAATGAGGTTAATCCATTAGATAGGTCACTCTTGGTGCCACAGAGTCTAGGGCCAGGATGTCTAGGGGGCCCACTGGTGTTTATCTTAGAGTGATTGATAGATGGGGTACAAGCTAGTACCATCAGGGTGGGGAGTGCCCACTGATGGTTTTTAAAAAATTATTTAACTAGGCAAGTCAGTTAAGAACAAATTCTTATTTACAATGACGGCCTACACCGGCCAAACCCGGACAACGCTGGGCCAATTGTGCGCCGCCCTATGGGACTCCCAATCACGGCCGGTTTTGATACAGCATGGAATCGAACCAGGGGGTCTGTAGTGACGCCTCAAACACTGAAATGCAGTGCCTTAGACTACTGCGCCACTCGGGAGCCCAGATGTTGTTGAAGAAATGTGTCGCAGTGGTCTAAGGCACTGCATCGCCGTGCTAGCTGTGCCACTAGAGATCCTGGTTCGAATCCAGGCTCTGTCGTAGCCGGCCGCGACCGGGAGACCCATGGGGCGGCGCACAATTGGCCCAGCGTCGTCCAGGGTAGGGGAGGGAATGGCCGGCAGGGGATGTAGCTCAGTTGGTAGAGCATGGCGTTTGCAACGCCAGGGTTGTGGGTTCGATAAAATAATGTATGCGCTAACTGTATGTCGCTCTGGATAAGAGCGTCTGCTAAATGACTAAAATGTAAATGTAAATGTAACGTGGATATAAGAGCTGAGATATGTTCTTTGTCCATCCTTCAGATAGCAAGGGGCAATTTACGTGCAGTTTGTTATGTTGCATCCGGTACCGTATTATTAAATAAATTGTATCAACTCTCCATATACAGTGAGGGAAAAAAAGTATTTGATCCCCTGCTGATTTTGTATGTTTGCCCACTGACAAAGAAACGATCAGTCTATAATTTTAATGGTAGGTTTATTTGAACAGTGAGAGACAGAATAACAACAAAAATATCCAGAAAAATGCATGTCAAAAATGTTATAAATTGATTTGCATTTTAATGAGGGAAATAAGTATTTGAGCCCCTCTCAATCAGAAAGATTTCTGGCTCCCAGGTGTCTTTTATACAGGTAACGAGCTGAGATTAGGAGCACACTCTTAAAGGGAGTGCTCCTAATCTCAGCTTGTTACCTGTATAAAAGACACCTGTCCACAGAAGCAATCAATCAATCAGATTCCAAACTCTCCACCATGGCCAAGACCAAAGAGCTCTCCAAGGATGTCAGGGACAAAATTGTAGACCTACACAAGGCTGGAATGGGCTACAAGACCATCGCCAAGCAGCTTGGTGAGAAGGTGACAACAGTTGGTGCGATTATTCGCAAATGGAAAAAACACAAAAGACCTGTCAATTTCCCTCGGCCTGGGGCTCCATGCAAGATCTCACCTCGTGGAGTTGCAATGATCATGAGAACGGTGAGGAATCAGCCCAGAACTACATGGGAGGATCTTGTCAATGATCTCAAGGCAGCTGGGACCATAGTCACCAAGAAAACAATTGGTAACACACTACGCCGTGAAGGACTGAAATCATGCAGCGCCCGCAAGGTCCCCCTGCTCAAGAAAGCACATATACAGGGCCATCTGAAGTTTGCCAATGAACATCTGAATGATTCAGAGGAGAACTGGGTGAAAGTGTTGTGGTCAGATGAGACCAAAATGGAGCTCTTTGGCATCAACTCAACTCGCCGTGTATGGAGGAGGAGGAATGCTGCCTATGACCCCAAGAACACCATCCCCACCGTCAAACATGGAGGTGGCACCATTATGCTTTGGGGGTCTTTTTCTGCTAAGGGGACAGAACAACTTCACCGCATCAAAGGGACGATGGACGGGGCCATGTACCGTCAAATCTTGGGTGAGAACCTCCTTCCCTCAGCCAGGGCATTGAAAATGGGTCGTGGATGGGTATTCCAGCATGACAATGACCCAAAACACACGGCCAAGGCAACAAAGGAGTGGCTCAAGAAGAAGCACATTAAGGTCCTGGAGTGGCCTAGCCTGTCTCCAGACCTTAATCCCATAGAAAATCTGTGGAGGGAGCTGAAGGTTCGAGTTGCCAAACGTCAGCCTCGAAACCTTAATGACTTAGAGAAGATCTGCAAAGAGGAGTGGGACAAAATCCCTCCTGAGATGTGTGCAAACCTGGTGGCCAACTACAAGAAACGTCTAACCTCTGTGATTGCCAACAAGGGTTTTGCCACCAAGTACTAAGTCATGTTTTGCAGAGGGGTCAAATACTTATTTCCCTCATTAAAATGCAAATCAATTTATAACATTTTTGACATGCGTTTTTCTGGATTTTGTTGTTGTTATTCTGTCTCTCACTGTTCAAATAAACCTACCATTAAAATTATACACTGATCATTTCTTTATCAGTGGGCAAACGTACAAAATCAGCAGGGGATCAAATACTTTTTTCCCTCACTGTAAAAGTATAAATCATTTCACATTCTTTATATTAAGCAAACGAGACAGCACCATTTTCTAGTTTTATTATTTATTTAAGGATAGCCAGGGGCACACTCCAACATTCAGACATAATTTACAAATTAAGCATTTGTGTTTAGTGAGTCCGTCAGATCAGAGGCAGTAGGGTTGACCAGGGATGTTTTCTTAAGAAGTACGTGAATTGGACAATTTTCCTGTCCTAATAAGCATTCGAAATGTAACGAGTACTTTTGGGTTTCAGGGTAAATGTATGAAGTTAAAAGTATGATATTTTTTTAAAGGAATGTAGTGAAGTAAAAGTAGTCAAAAATATAAATAGTGAGGTACAGATACCCAAAAAAAACGACTTAAGTAATACTTTAAATTATTTTTACCTAAGTACTTTACACCACTGCTATGACATAACAAACGAATAGTGCCATTTTGGAACTATTTTGGAAAAGTTGTAAAAAGAATAGCATTACTTGTAAGACAAAATATCTAGTTAACAAGCATGGTAGCAGTTGGTATTAGTTTAAACGCCATGTATCCCAAATGCCATGTGAGCAAACTCAACTATCTGTCCTTCCCATAGTTGGCTTGACCTTTATGGTTCCCCAGTCTGTGGAATTAAAAAACATGACATTTGCCGGAGAAGTCCACAATAGTCTTACAAATGACAGAAATGTCATGACAACTTCCAGGGGCTGGTTTTCCAGACACATATTAAACCCAGTCTTGGACTAAGAAGCACTTTCATTGGATGAGAGCTTCTTAGTCCAGGACTAGGTTTAATTTAATCTGTCCTGGAAATCTGCCCCAAATGTTCAAAACATTGTTCACATGTTTGCAGCTGAAATAGGCTCCTATCAGAACGTACCACGATCAAGCTTGAACAATCTTATCTGAAAATCCTGACAAAAAATAAACAAGTCTATCAATTTTTTTCCACATATTATGTATACACTGGTATGGTGCTGTAAATGATGGATTAGAGGTTAAAAAGTGGTGAAGGGCCCCTTTAAGGATTAGCATATTTCTTATTTTTCATTAAATCCATTTTAAGTTGTAATGTATTTGCTTTTCAGCTTTTACTTACATTGCCATTGTTTGATAAACATGCTTAAAAAGATCCTGTACTGTAAGCTATTTCAAATATGATCATATTAAAATGAATCCACATAGTATTTCATGGTAGAAGTGTATAATGATAAATGTAAATGCAACAAACGGGTTCTTACCAAACTTGCATGAAGAAATAAACACTAAAAGTGTGAGAAAAAGAAACTTAAAAAACATCAGACAACCCACGTTTTGTCAAAGAACAAGAAACGATTTACTTAAAATATGCACAAAAATATATACTTTTACTTACAGACCAATTTCCTTACTCAGTGCTACCAATGTGAAACTACACTCTTGATTGTCTAATAATCGTTGACAGAATTGGCGACAGTATATTCCTTATTATTTTGTCTGAGTGGTCATTCATAAACACAAAGTGAAATCTACTTTTTTTTTACTAGAGGAGCTGAACACAACTATTTCCTTGTACCTTAACTACCCCCTGAAATCTTAAAATGCAACATCTAGCGGCTACAAGGTACGGGGTGAAAATATATTTTTTAAATGTAGTTGGGGATCCTCGGCCAGGGGCTGATCATAGTTGGGGGTCCTCGGCCAGGGGCTGATCATAGTTGGGGGTCCTCGGCCAGGGGCTGATCATAGTTGGGGGTCCTCGGCCAGGGGCTGATCATAGTTGGGGGTCCTCGGCCAGGGGCTGATCATAGTTGGGGGTCCTTGACATGAAAAACCCCTGATCTAGCCCACAGATTGAGAAACATTATTCCCCATTTTTTTATTCGTAGTTAGTACTAATATCATATGACTCTGTGGTCTATTGTTGGGCAGTACTCAACCTTTGAGACAATAGTCAGTCAGAAGCAGAACATTCTGAATGTGTAATGGAGTCCATTGTGCTTGTGTGTGTTCAGTTGTGTAGCCAACGTGGTGTGTGTGTGTGTGTGTGTGTGTGTGTGTGTGTGTGTGTTCAGGTCAGAAGCAGAATGTGTGATGGAGTCCATTGAGCCACTGTGTTCAATGGTGTAGCTAAAGTTTCCAGATAGAGCTCCATTCTGAATGTCCCACTGACACAGCACAACAGACCCCATGCCCTCTGCCCCTGTCTGTGTCCCAAATGGCACCCTATTCCCTATATAGTGCACTACCTTTGACCAGAGCCCTATTGGGTAAAAGAAGGTAGGGGATAATGGAATAGGGTGCCATTTGGGACGTAATGCCTCTTGTCTTTCATTCTCTATGTTACCTGTATGTTCCCAATATACCAAAGGAAAGGACAGTCAGGAGATGACTCTTCACTCCACTGGGGTTGACCTACCTGAAAACTAGCACAGAGGGTAAGAGACATTCTGATTTCATATGAGTAATATTAAAATGTTGTCTAATATGATGAATATTACAAATTACTACACAACATGAATTACATATTATACAACAGCACTATAAAATTTAAGCCACAACTGATCTAGTACAAACTTAGTTATAGATGATTATCTTTAACCCCAGACAATTACATGCCCAAGAAAAACGTTTTTTATGTTGTCACAATTCAAACGTCATTTTGAGCAGCTCTGTTTTACTGTGTTTACAGAACTCCTATCCAAAACAGAATGAAGTCGCCAGTTCTTGTGACATGTTTTGTGGGACTGTGTATGTGGCACATTGCACTGTCACTGAAAATCTGCGCCTTCAACGTTCAGAGCTTTGGCGAGGCGAAAGCTAAAAACAAAAAGGTTATGGGAATTCTGATCAAGGTAGGAGTAAGAGACAAGAAGTGTGAAGACAGCTACTACTAAACAACTAATCCAGACAGCTACTACTATACAACTAAACTAGACAGCTACTACTAAACAACTAAACTAGACAGCTACTACTAAACAACTAATCTAGACAGCTACTACTAAACAACTAATCTAGACAGCTACTACTAAATAACTAAACTAGACAGCTACTACTAAACCACTAAACTAAACAGCTACTACTAAACCACTAAACTAGACAGCTACTACTAAACAACTAATCTAAACAGCTACTAATAAACAACTAATCTAGACAGCTACTACTAAACAACTAAACTAGACAGCTACTACTAAACTACTACTAAACAACTAAACTAAACAGCTACAACTAAACAACTAATCTAGACAGCTACTACTAAACAACTAAACTAAACAGCTACAACTAAACAACTAAACTAGACAGCTACTACTAAAGCACTAAACTAGACAGCTACTACTAAACCACTAAACTAGACAGCTACTACTAAAGCACTAAACTAGACAGCTACTGATATACAACTAAACTAAACAGCTACTACTAAACAACTAAACTAGACAGCTACTACTAAACAACTAAACAGCTACTACTAAACCACTAAACAGCTACTACTAAACTAGAGATCTACTACTAAACAACTCAACTAGACATCTACTGCTAAACAACTAAACTAGACATCTACTGCTAAACAACTAAACTAGACAGCTATGGGAGAACAAGAATGAAGAGCGACCAACCATACACTATGTTTATCACCATTGAATTAGAACGTCACAAACAGAGTATGTGAGCTGAACAGAGCTGGAGAGGAGTTGAGCGTGCCCAATGTGACTGGAGCGTGGAGCGAGATTCCCAAAGGCTGGAGCGTCTGTCGGCGTTCTTGCCCGCTCCAATAGCGCTCAGGGCACGCACGCCCCAGCATGCATTTCTAGTCTACTTGTGTGCTGCTAATAGCTCTTGCTTTAACTACTGTCTTGGGAGTTCGCACAGGTGCTAAACCAAGGCGACTTACAAAGATGAGGACCAAGAGCAAGAGAGGGAGTGCGGTGATGTAATGTCCGCTGTTATGTGTTAGGCTTGGATGCCACCTGCTGGTATGGTGCTAAACTGTTGCCATTGCCGTTGTTCTACGGGCGGGATATGGCAGTTGTTACACGATGGCTACATGAAACATCCACAACTAAAGAATCATTGTGGGATCTTAAAAGACACTTATCCCAAAAGTATGATGGTGTACTTATTACTACATGCTGAAAGAAAGGAATGAGGTGGGTAGATAACTAAGTGTGTCATTGTAGCAAAGTATTTATAAACTAAAGATCAGATCTCTTAAACGTTTCGTTCATTTTCGTTCTATTATCCATACAATATGCCATAATTGATTTTGGCCCAATAGGCCTGCCATATTCCCACGTTCAAGGAGCTTTCCGTTTTGATTGCTTTATTTTGCTTAAAAACCTTTAGGCCTACCTATAGAAACATTTAAAAACAGCTCTGCATCTCTGCCCAGCCTGGCAAGAGTGGCCAAAGGGGTGTATAGCATCCCCAGTGGCTCTGCAAAGGTGGAGAGGATATTCTCAGCTGCTGGCCGGCTCTCCAGGCACCATGGAGAGGATGTTCTCAGCTGCTGGCCTGCTCTCCAGGCACCATCACATGAGCCTGAAGCTACAGACTGGCCACACTTTGAATTTTAAAAATGAATTCAAAGGCACTAATAAGTCATTTTTCGTTTAATTTGTATTTAATTCTAAGTAAGTCACAGCCTATATGCTTCTGCACAGGTCCTAATCCAGGCACTTGTCATCTCCCGTCTGGATTACTGCAACTCGCTGTTGGCTGGCCTCCCTGCCTGTGCCATTAAACCCCTACAACTCATCCAGAATGCCGCAGCAGTTCTCTCACGTCACCCCCCTCCTCCGCACACTCCACTGGCTTCCAGTTGAAGCTCGCATCCGTTACAAGACCATGGTGCTTGCCTATGGAGCTGTGAGGGGAACGGCACCTCCGTACCTTCGGGCTCTGATCAGTCCCTACACCCAAACGAGGGCATTGCGTTCATCCACCTCTGGCCTGCTGGCCCCCCTACCTCTGCGGAAGCACAGTTCCCGCTCAGCCCAGTCAAAACTGTTCGCTGCTCTGGCACCCCAATGGTGGAACAAGCTCCCTCACGACGCCAGGACAGCGGAGTCACTCACCACCTTCCGGAGACATTTGAAACCCCACCTCTTTAAGGAATACCTGGGATAGGATAAAGTAATCCTTCTCTCCCCCCCCCCCCCCCCCCCCCCCCCAAAAAAAAAAAACGTGTAAAGTGGTTTTCCCACTGGCTATAGGGTGAATGCACCAATTTGTAAGTCGCTCTGGATAAGAGCGTCTGCTAAATGACGTAAATGTGCCCTTGAGCAAGGCACTTAACCCTAATTGCTCCTGTAAGTCGCTCTGGATAAGAGCGTCTGCTAAATGACTAAAATGTAAAAATGTAAATGTAATATGCACAATTTATAGACTATAATGATTTAATACAACGAAATGTTGTTTAAATGCTGAGCCCTTTATGTCCCTACCAGCCTATTGTGTTGCACTCGCAAATGCTTCACGATGTATTTCTTTGTAGGCTATAGGCTTTAAATAATATAGCCTAAATAAATCATTTTCGTTCGTTCTTAGGCTCCCTGTCTGGCTCCTGACCTATTTATAGTGTTTATATGCTGTTTAATATGACATGTAGCCTATTTGAAATTATGTTCGCTTCTAACGTTCGCCTTTTCATGTTTATTCACATACTTGTAATTCAAATCCATATGGTTTGGTTTCAATACTTAAAAACCAATTGATAGGTCCAGGTAGTCACAAAAATAGATGGGTGTTGGTTAAATTGTGATTTTAATGAATGAAGCGAATTTGGAGAGAGTTTTTTTTTTCTGTGAGTGTGGAGCGGTTTTTAGCAGAGCAGTAGGAAAGACATGGAGCACCGGAGTGGTGGGATTTCCAACCGCTCAACTCCGCTCACATGCTTTGGTCACAACTATTCTGTGTTCATTATTATGGTATTTTGATATCCAACAATATAACCAAAAGCTGTTTCCCTCCCCTCTCCCCAGATTCTTGCTCGCTGTGACCTGTGTTTGATCCAGGAGGTTCGAGATGCTAAAGGTGAAGCCATACCTACACTGGTGAAGGATCTTAACAGGTACATAACAAGGGGGGTCTTTAAATTGCTTTGTTGACCTTCGGTGATCTTTTAAATGTGTGTTATGTTTTTAGATATGGATGAGGCAGAGAGAGTCAGGTTAACATGTTTACTGAGGTAACATGGCAACAACACAGGTCAAATACAGCAGGGTCCTTTACCTTCATATAGAATTAACCCTTTATAAGACATTTACAGTATGTTGAGATTTAAGTCTTATCATGATTAGGGTTCTAATCTTCACCTGATGTCTGTTTGCCATTCCACCATCAGCTTTGACAAATCACATGCATACTCCTACATAGAGAGTATGAGACTGGGGAAGAACACGTACAAAGAGCAATATGTCTACATTTACAAGTAAGCCATTACGTTTTTTACACAGGCTTACAATACACTCTACATTTTTGAGATAAGAATTTTTGAAACACTGCAGTGTTTCAGTACTGCAGCACTCCTCTCTGTGGATTGATTGGATGGTTGATTGATTAATTGATTGGCTTGAATCATCTCTAGGAAAGATGTGCTGCAGGTCCGAGAGCATTGCCAGTATCCTGAGCTAGAGAGAGGAGAGGGGACGAACAACGACACCGAGGTTTTCTCCAGAGAGCCTTTCATTGTCCGGTTTCACTCGCCCACTACCTGTGAGAACCTTCAATAGATCAATCACTGTCTTAAGTTAAAATGTGATGTCATCTCATATCATGCAATCTGGAGACAGGAACGTGCCATGTGTTAAAGGATTGTAGGATACCTTATACAGATAGTTCTAGCCTGGTCTCACATCTGTTTGTGCTGTCTTGCCAGCCATTGACCATAGGGGTTGTCAAAACAGCACAAATCAGTGTTGTGTTCGAGACCACCTAAAGCGAGACCGTTTCAAGACCGGAGGGGGGGGGGGGGAGAGACCGAGTCAAGACCGAGACCGAGACTGGGAGAGGGACGAGGGGTTCGAGACCCAGTAAAGAACGAGTCCAACTCAAGACCATGATTGTACTAACTCGTGACTGCCGGTAATACAGTCACCGTAACAGCCCTAGGTGGGACCATTTTTACAAAAATATTTGGAAACTTCTGCCACAGAGTTTCTAAACCTAGTTGTACAACATCGCGAGACTTCCGAAACAGACCAAACAGACCAGGCTAGGGGTTTGGGGTTTGAGAAGTCAATGAGAGAAATTAAAATTAGTTGTACATTCTTTTTTTCTAGAAATCTAAAGGCACGACATAGATTCGAGCCAATGTCTTAAGTAGTTGAATATGTTATTACTCTAACCTCGTGAAAGTGACAAAATAACAAATTTTTTATCAAAAACAACTTTATATCGAAGGAGTGACTTTTGATTTGACGGCCTGCACATGCGCAGTTCGGCGCGAGACGACCGTTAGATCCGATGACGTGTTTCTACACATGAGCTTAGCTAGCCAATGTCGCCATGACATCGCCTACAAGTGTGATCAGGGATTTCTATTGGAGAAGCGCAATAGCGAGCAGTAGTTTACCCACGGTCTAGCTAGCTAGCTTTTGTTTTAGGCTAGTGTGCAGCGGCTGCAGCAGGTGTTATCGAAGAGGATGTTGTTGCTAATTTGTTAGCTTCGCCCTTTTGAAGATTAACTTTCAACAAGAAGTTAAGCTTCAAATGATCATCATCTGGTGAGTGGAACCGTGCTTTTTGTTGCGGTGCGCTTACTGTTGTTAGCCAATCTCTTTGAAAATAACTTATGTGTGTGAAACGTTGTTGAATTTAAGCTTTAGATCACTGGTTACTTTGTGTGCTGAATGATTTTTTTTGTTGTTGTTGCAATGGGAAGTAATAGTTGTACATTTCAATTGGGAAATGCTTAGCCTAATGGTTGTGTTTTTGTAGTCTTATGATTGGGACCTACTGGCCCTTTTTTTGTCCAAGTGAACGGACTGCTTATCCTTTAACATCATGCTGTGTGACTGCTTATCCTTTAACATCATGCTGTGTGACTGCTTATCCTTTAACATCATGCTGTGTGACTGCTTATCCTTTAACATTATGCTGTGTGTGACTGCGGTCTTCCCATCATCCCCATGTGTTTTACTAGAAAAGTCTCTCTCCTACATGGAGTATTACAGTCGCTGTCCTTACAGCATCACAAGCCTGTCACACACATCCTGTTGTCGCTTTTGGTGATAGTGATGGCGTTAGGTCCTCTGTAGCTCAGCTGGTAGAGTGCAGCGCTTGTAACGCCAAGGTAGTGGGTTCGATCCCCGGGACCACCCATACACAAAAATGTATACACGCATGACTGTAAGTCGCTTTGGATAAAAGCGTCTGCTAAATGTCATAGTATTATTATCATAGGTTGTGTAAGCAGTGTTGTTGTTTTTGGTATTGTATTAGGATCCCCATTAGCTGTTGCGAAAGCAGCAGCTACTCTTCCTGGGGTCCACACACAACATGAAACATTACTTAATACAGAACATTAATAGACAAGAACAGTTCAAGGACAGAACTACATACTTTTAAAAACTGCACACATAGCCTACATATCAATAAATACAACAAAAAAAAAATCTAGGTCAGATTGAGGAGAGGCGTTGTGCCGTGAGGAGTTGCTTTATCTGTTTTTTTGAAACCAGGTTTGCTGTTCATTTGAGCAATATGAGATGGAACGGAGTTCCATGCGACAATGGCTCTATATAATACTGTACGCTTTCTTTTACGGACTGTGTTGTTGGACTATGTGGACTATGTTGTAGGTAGCATTATCCCCGTGGGGTGCTATCTCTGTTTGAGTGGCAGCTCGAAGCTCGGCTCAGCCTCAGGCCTGTTTGACTAAGCATTAAGTGATTTTATGTGTCTGTTCATTTTCTTGATTTCTTTGTTTGGGGTCCAATAGCCACAGTTCAGCACTGCCCAAACATGTCTATATAAAGACTGTTACAATTCCCCCCAGTGGTCTCCCCCTTACTAATACTGAGTGCACAACTTTCAAACAGTTCCCCCCACTCCTCCCTACCAGCCGGAGTATGTGAGCTGAGCGTAGCTGGAGCAGAGCTAGGAGTCCAATTTGACTGGAGCGCAAAGCGAGATTCCCAAAGGCTGGATGTAGGCCTTCTCGCCAGCTCCAATTTCGCTCCAAGTAGCGCTCACTTCAGGAGCTCAGGGCATGCCCGACCCAGCATGCAATTGTAGTCTTCTTGTTTGCTGCTAATAGCCCCTTGCTTTAGTTACTGTCATGGATGTTCGCTAAATATTTTCACAAAGAAACTGATAAAACACACAGGTGCTAAATCAAGGTGACTTACAAAGATGAGGACCAAGAGCAAGAGAGGGAGTGCGGCGATGTTGTGTCCGCTGTTATGTGTTAGGGTTGGATGCCACCTGCTGGTATGGTGCTAAACTGTTAGGTTATAGACCAGATGCCATTGTTCTACGCGCAGGATATGGCAGTTGTTACACGCTGGCTACATGAAACATCCACAACTAAAGAATCATTGTGGGATCTGAAAATACACTTATTGGTGTACTTATTACTACGTGCTGAAAGAAAGGAATGAGGTGGGTAGATAACTAAGTGTGTCATTGTAGCAAAGTTTTAATAAACTAAAAATCAGATCTCTTAAACGTTTCGTTCATTTTCGTTCTATTACCTAAACAATAGGCCATAATTGATTTTGGCCCAAAAGGCCCTATTTGAAATTATATGTTCGCTTCTTACATTCAACTTGTTTATTCAAATACTTTTCATTCAAATCCCATATGGTTTCGTTTCAATACATAAAAAAAACAAATGGAAGGTCCAGGTAGTCACAAAAATAGATGGGTGTTGGTTAAATTGTGATTTTAATGAATGGAGCAAATTTGGAGCGGGAGTGGTTTTTGAGTGTGGAACGGTTTTTAGCAGAGCATTAGGAGAGGACCGGAGCAGATCAGTGATGAGCTGGATTTCCAACCACTCAACTCACATACTCTGCTACCAGCGAGCGAGACAAAGTTTGAGGATATTTTTTTTCAACGAAAGCAGAGAACGAACAGTAATGTTACGAGTAAAGTAGGAGGTCCAGGTTTCAATAGGCGATAAGATATTGTTTTCATCAACGTGTATATATTTGGCCCGGTGAAGCGGTTTTATGCGCTGACTGAATGGAAGCTGATCATTACCTGTATGAGTTTTTTTTACTCCTTCTACTTCACCAGCTGTCATCATCTGCAGCTCTATGTTGAGGAACATCACGGTTCCCGGGGCAAAAACCCTGTGCTATCCCGGAGCACGGGTACAGGACATCACAAGGTTGTTTCCTACCGTTCTACGACAGCTGCCAGGGGATGACGCTGTTGTAGTCCATGTGGGGGTCAAACGACATAAGGAGGGCTAGCTCGGAACTGCTGAACATTTATTTTTAAATAATTGATTCTAGCTCTGAAATATGCTGTTGAAGTAATATGGCTACAGGTTCACCTGCCTCACCCAAAGCCCATTCTGGTGGGAGGCTGCTATAGACCACCAAGTGCTAACAGTCAGTATCTGGGTAATGTGTGTCAAATGCTTGATAGTATATTTGAAATCAACAGAGAGGTATATTTTCTGGGTGACCTAAAAATTGACTGGCTTTCATTTACATTTACATTTAAGTCATTTAGCAGACGCTCTTATCCAGAGCGACTTACAGGAGCAATTAGGGTTAAGTGCCTTGCTCAAGGGCACATCGACAGATTTTTCACCTAGTCGGCTCGGGGATTAGAACCAGCGACCTTTCGGTTACTGGCACAACGCTCTTAACCGCTAAGCTACCTGCCGCCCCTTTCACCTGCCGCCCCTTTCATCAAGCTGCCCACTCAAGAAAAAGCTTCAAACTGTAACCAGTGTCTGCAACCTGGTTCAGGTTATCAGTGAATGTACCAGGATATTTACAAACAGCACAGGAATTAAATCATCCACATGTATTGATCATATCTTTACTAATACTGCAGAACTCTGCTCTAAAGCAGTATCCAACTCCGTCGAATGTAGTGATCACAATATAGTAGCCATATCTAGGAAAACCAAAGTTCCAAAGGCTGGGCCTAATACAGTGTATAAGAGGTCATACAATACGTTTTGTAGTGATCCCTATGTTTAAGATCTGTGGTGTGTAATGAGGAGCAACCAGACGCTGCACTTGACACATTTATGAAATTGCTAATAAGCATGCACCCATTAAGAAAATGACTGTAAAAACTGTTAAATACCTGTGGATTGATGAGGAATTAAAAAATGGTATGGTTGAGAGGGATGAAGCAAATAAGTCTGGCTGCACAGCCGTTTGGCAAACGTACAGTAAATTGAGAAATCATGTGACTAAACTGAACAGAAAGAAGAATAAAACTGCACTATGAAACAATGATAAATTAAGTAAATTATATAAAGAATGATAGTAAGAAGCTTTGGAGCGCTTTAAATGAAATTTTGGGCAAAAAGGCAAACTCCGCTCCATCATTCATTGAATCAGATGGCTCATTCGTCACAAAACCCACTGATATTGCCAACTACATTTAATTATTTTTTTTCATTGGCAAGATTAGCAAACTTAGACATGACATGCCAGCCACAAATTCTGAACCTTCATATCTATGCATAACTCACCAAGAAAAACATTTGTAATTTTGCATTCTGTAAAGTGAGTGTGGAAGAGGTGAAAAAAGTATTGTTGTCTATCAACAATGACAAGCCACCTGGGTCTGACAACTTGGATGGAAAATTACTGAGGATGATAGCGGACGATATTGCCACTCCTATTTGCCATCTCTTCAATCTAAGGATACAGGAAAGTGTGTGCCCTCAGGCTTGCAGGGAAGAAAAAGTCATTCCACTACCCAAGAATAGCGAAGCACCCTTTACTGGCTCAAACAGCCGACCAATCAGCCTGTTACCAACCCTTAGTAAACTTTTGGGAAAAAATGGTGTTTCACCAGATATTTCACAGTAAACAAATTAACAACAGATTTTCAGCACGCTTATAGGGAAGGGCATTCAACATGTACGGCACTTACACAAATGACTGATGATTGGCTGAGAGAAATTGATCATAAAAAGATTGTGGGAGCTGTTTTGTTAGACTTCAGTGCAGCTTTTGACGTTATCGATCATAATCTGCTGCTGGAAAAACGTATGTGTTATGGCTTTACATCCCCTGCTATAATGTGGATCGAGAGTTACTTGTCTAACAGAACACAGAGAGTGTTTTAATAATCCAGGTAGAGTCAGGCATTCCCCAGGGCAGCTGTTTAGGCTGTTTTCCAAATGTGTGGCAAGAAATACGTTTGTCCTAAATATTTCTAAAACTAAAAGCATTGTATTTGGGACAAATCATTCACTAAACCCTAAACTTAAACTAAATCTTGTAATGAATAATGTGGAAATTGAGCACATACTTCTCCCCATCTTAGCTACTGTTGTATCAATATGCTTTGACCATGACAGTCTACAATCCAGGGTTACTCCAAGCAGTTTAGTCTCCTCAACTTGCTCAATTTCCACATTATTCATTACGAGATGTAGTTGAGGTTTAGGGTTTAGTGAATGATTTGACCCAAATACAATGCTTTTAGTTTTGGAAATATTCAGGACTAACTTATTCCTTGCCAACCATTCCGAAACTAACTGCAACTCTTTGTTAATAATAATAATATGCCATTTAGCAGACGCTTTTATCCAAAGCGACTTACAGTCATGTGCGCATACATTTTTACGTATGGGTGGTCCCGGGGAACGAACCCACTTCCCTGGCGTTACAAGCGCCATGCTCTACCAATTGAGCTACAGAGGACCACAGGACCACATATTTCAGTTGCTGTAGTAGCTGACGTGTATAGTGTTGAGTCATCCGCATACATAGACACACTGGCTTTACTCAAAGCCAGTGGCATGTCGTTAGTAAAGATCGAAAAAAGCAAGAGGCCTAGACAGCTGCCCTGGGGAATTCCTGATTGAAGGTCCCCAAGAACACAGTGGCCTCCATCATTCTTAAATGGAAGAAGTTTGGAACCACCAAGACTCTTCCTAGAGCTGGCCACCCGGCCAAACTGAGCAATCTGGGGAGAAGGGCCTTGGTCAGGGAGGTGACCAAGAACCCGATGGTCACTCTGACAGAGCTCCAGAGTTCCTTTTTGGAGATGGGAGAACCTTCCAGAAGGACAACCATCTCTCCAGCACTCTACCAATCAGGCCTTTATGTAGAATGGCCAGACGGACGCCACTCCTCAGTAAAAGGCAAATTGACAGCCCGCTTGGAGTTTGCAAATGGCACCTAAAGGACTCTCAGACCATGAGAAACAAGATTCTCTGGTCAGATGAAACCAAGATTGAACTCTTTGGCCTGAATGCCAAGCGTCACATCTGTAGGAAACCTGGCACCATTCCTACGGTGAAGCATGGTGGTGGCAGCATCATGCTGTGGGGATGTTTTTCAGCGGCAGGGACTGGGAGACTAGTCAGGATCGAGGGAAAGATGAACGGCGCAAAGTACAGAGAAATCCTTGATGAAAACCTTCTCCAGAGCACTCGGGACCTCAGACTGGGGCAAAGGTTCACCTTCCAACAGGACAACGACCCTAAGCACACAGCCAAGACAACGCAGGAGTGGCTTCGGGACAAGTCTCTGAATGTCCTTGAGTGGCCCAGCCAGAGCCTGGAGTTGAACCCGATCGAACATCTCTGCAGAGACCTGAAAATAGCTCTGCAGCGACGCTCCCCATCCAATCTGACAGAGCTTGAGAGGATCTGCAGAGAAGAATGGGAGAAACTCCCCAAATACAGGTGTGCCAAGCTTGTAGCATCATACGCAAGAATACTCGAGGCTATAATCGCTGCCAAAGGTGCTTCAACAAAGTACTGAGTAAAGGGTCTGAATGCTTATGTAAATGTGATATATAAATAAATAATATATATATTAGCAAACATTTCTAAAAACCTGTTTTTGCTTTGTCATTATGGGGTGTCGTGTGTAGATTGAGGGGAAAAAACAATTTAATAAATTTTAGAATAAGGCTGTAACGTAACAAAATGTGGGAAAAAGTAAAGGGTTCTGAATACTTTCCGAATACACTGTAGATATGTGGTAGTAGAGTAGTGGCCTGATGGCACACACTTAATGTGTGGTGAAATCTGTTGTGAAATGTAATGTAATGTTTTTTTAATTGTATATAACTGCCTTAATTTTGTTGGACCCCAGGAAGAGTAGCTGCTGACTTGGCAGCAGCTAATGGGGATCCATAATAAATACAAATATTCCGCTGGTCTCGGCTGGTCTCGGGAAGAAATGACAAGTCCTCACTGTCCGAGAGTCAAAATGAGTCAAAATGTATCCGACACCGGGACAAGACCAAGACAGTCAATATGTGGTCTCGAGACTGGACTCGAGTATTACAACACTGTTAGAAATAGATCTGGGACCAAGGCTAAGTCAAACTTTCAAAATTATTAAATGACATGACAGGAATTTCTTTTAAAATCTCTCCTTCTACAGTGGTGAAGGATTTTGTCCTGGTGGGCCAACACACCTGTCCCAAAACAGCAATGAAAGAGATCGATGAACTCTACACTGTTTTCAATGGGATCTGCAAGAAGTGGAAGACTGAGGTTAGTTGATTTAAATCGTTCAGATAACATTACTAGAAGCTCCTCAGATTTCTCTAATCTTATTCCTTCCTCTTCTCCTGATAATTAACTATTCCATTGAGGTCATTGAGGTCAACTTACTGTAACTTCCTGTTTTGTGTTTTGTTTTGTTTTGATACGGTTCATCCGTCCTCCTCTAGAATGTGGTGATCTTAGGGGACTTGAATGCAGCCTGCAGCTACATCACCGCCAGGGGCTTCAGAGCGGTGCGTTTGAGGAGCGACCCCAAGTTCCGCTGGCTGATTAGAGATGAACAGGATACAACTGTCCGGCAGAAGACACACTGTGCATACGACAGGTCAGGTGACCCACACAATAGAATCATTGGACAAGACTTGTATGTGTGCTGGTACATGTGTTCTGTACGTTTTTATCTGTGGGTGAAGCTTCTTCTTCTTCTTCTTCTTCTTCTTCTTACTATAATCATGATATGCCTCGTCTCTATATACGTCCCACTCCAGGATAGTTTCTTCTTACTATAATCATGATATGCCTCCTCTCTATATACGTCCCACTCCAGGATAGTTATCCACGGCAGAGAGATGATCTGTGGGATAGTTCCAGATTCGGCTAAACCGTTCAACTTTAAAGAGGAGTTCCACCTTACCGAAGACGAGGTAACTTAACTTCTCAGACACTGACATTTTGAAATCAGTTGAAATGTATGATATAAGTTGAAATCAACCTGTATTCTTTTGATTGACTGATTTTATATTATTTGTTTGTTTACATTTAGGCGTTGGAAGTCAGTGACCACTTCCCAGTAGAAGTTGACCTGAAGCCCAACCATCGGTACCTCCTGCGCCATGAACTTTAGACCCCCCCCACTGCACCATCAACATTACGAACAACCATTGCGATCATGTTTTTACTCCCGATTATTTCAGTTGTATTTATTTATTTCAATTTATTTTAGGTACTTAAATTAAATGATGTAGGAGTTTTGAAAAAATTATAGGGATTGTTGTTGGATTGTTGTTGGAATTTATACTGTATCAAACTGTATTTACTATTATGAAAAATAAACATGCTATATCTTTGTCTGCACAGAGACTAATGCAATTAATTTATTGGATATCTAAACATTTTGATGTAGAATGAATTCTAGTTTGGATTAATCCCTAACTCAGACTAACATAAGTAAATCAGTCAATTGAAATAAATAAATTAGGCCCTAATCTATGGATTTTACATGACTGGGCAGGGGCACAGCCATGGGTGGGCCTGGGAGGGAATACTCCTCAGTTTCATCAGCTGTCTGGGTGGCTGGTCTCAGACGATCCCGCAGGTAAAGAAGCCGGATTTGGAGGTCCTGGGCTGGCATGGTTACACGTGGTCTGCAGTTGCGAGGCTGGTTGGATGTACTGCCAAATTCTCTAAGGTGACATTGGAGGCGGCTTATGGTAGAGAAATTAACATTCAATTCTCAGGTAACAGTTCTGGTGGACATTCCTACAGTCAGCATGCCAATTGCACGCTCCCTCAAAACTTGAGACAAAACTGCACATTTTAGAGTGGCCTTTTACTGTCCCCCGCACAAGGTGCACCTGTGTAATGACCATGCTGTTTAATCAGCTTCTTGATATGCCACACCTGTCAGGTGGATGGATTATCTTGGCAAAGGAGAAATGCTCACTAACAGGGATGTAAACAAATTTGTGCACAACATTTGAGAGAAACAAGCTTTTTTGTGCATCTGGAACATTTCTGGGATCTTTTATTTTCAGCTCCTGAAACATAGGACCAACACATTACATGTTGCGTTTGTATTTTTGTTCAGTATAAATTAGGGCCCTATACAGATGATGCACCTTCATTTGATAGCGCCAGACACCGGCAGGGGGGAAGTGGTAGCCTACATCTCTGAGGGAGTCAGGGCTGGGGCTTGTGTTAGACATCAGAAAGTAAAACCACAGTGCGTCATACGTGTTAAATCTACGGTGAGTACATCAACATCTTCCTGTGTGTGACTTTTATCTATGAAGAACCAAATGCTTTTAACAGACTATAGTTTTCTCCCATTTCAATTTGTATATTTTTTAAAATCATTTTGTTGTTCTCTTTTTGTGCTGTCTGTCATTACTTTGTCGATGTGTTTGAATCTATTTCTGCATCCCCATTCTGACAGGAAGCTGGTTGAAGCAATAACAGACGTGAACCCAAACACAGTCTCTTCCTGTCAGAAATCAGAAGAATTTTGTTGTAAAAGATGCTTTCAAATGTTACAAAAACGTGTCTTTTGGTAAACTGAATAACTTAAAAGGCACAGAAATCTTATGACATATTGTTTGACTTTACCTATCCTATTGTACCTAGAGAAGATGGAACAGCACTTGGCTGATTTGTTAACGGATGCATTTTCAGGTAAGCGTTATGCAGGTTGTAGCTAGAGCACTGCAAATTCACTGACATTTAGTGCACTCATTTCCTGAAAGTTACAAGAAATATATTATTGCTTGGGTTTTCTGTCTGTCATTATTTGCCATCTACTATGATCTTTTTCTGTCTGTGATGTTGTTGTTGCAGACATATCCCTCCCATCTTTCCCTGAAGGAGGGTTAGACTTTGAGCCTCTTGATTTTGACGAAGCCAAGACAGAAATGTCCTCTGGAAGATTACCAGTGCTGAGAGAGGAAGAGGAAGATGAGGATGAAGGACAGGAAGAGGAAGAGCCTGGTGGAGAAACTGTATCTGACCATATCTCAGTGAAGACATGTGATTTGAGTTTGACTGAAGAGGATACACAACATATTGATGATGAGGAGGAGGGGGAGGAGGAGGAGGGCAAGGAGGAGGAGGAGGAGGGCAAGGAGGAGGAGGGGGAGGAGGGCAAGGAGGAGGGCAAGGAGGAGGAGGAGGTGGAGGAGGTGGAGGAGGGCGAGGAGGAGGAGGTGGAGGAGGGCGAGGAGGAGGAGGTGGAGGAGGGCAAGGAGGAGGAGGAGGAAGAGGAGGAAGAGGAGATGGAGTCAGGAGAAGAAGAGGACACAGGAATACAGCACATTGGCTCCCCGGGGGGTTGGTCTGTTCACTACGATAAAGAGAATATAAAAAAGACTGTAACTACAGAACAACCTTTTGCCCAAGAGGAGAGGGAAAACCCTGACATCAGAAACGTAGAGCGAGGTGCTTACCAGAACAGTGATGTCAGGTGTTTTGAGGGTGTCACTGAAGATGGCACCATGGAGATCACAGCAGATATAAGTGAAGGGTCTGAAGAAGAGGGGAGACCGACGGCTGAAGAAAACCAAGAGGAATCATCTGATTCAGTCCTGACTAGCTCAATCACCGAAAACCATAGAGAAGAGGGTAAGAAAGTTGTGAACTTACTCTCCCAGCAGACTTTTCCTCAGGAGAAGGAAGAGGAAGAAGAGCGAGATGAAGATGGAGCTCCAGAGGTTGTTTCTGATTGTCCTGATCCCGCAGCAACGCACAATCTGCAATATCTTATGGTCAGTACCTTTGTGGAACACCCGCTTGAGGAGAAAATGAAGGACTTCCTAGGGGACGACCACCAAGAGGCGGGTGAAAGCTTCGCAGATTACCCCTCTGACTTCTCTCCAAGTGAATACGACAAGGATGGAGAGAAAGTGGGAGCACACAAAAATGGGAGCACACTGTCCAGTCACTCTGAGGGTAATTTAAAGACAGACGAGAATGTCTACCCAGAGAGAGAAGTAGCCGAGCAGACGGATAGCCATGTTCAGGGAGAGGAAGAGGCGAGAGCTGCTATCTCTCTGAGCGTGGAAGGTAAACAAGATTTTGCAGATTGTGCGATGTGCAATACCAATATTGACATTAGCATGGGCAAGATTATTGAAGACAATTTTGAAGCTGATAGCTCCAGTGATAGCTCCAGTGATAGCTCCAGTGATGGCTCCAGTGAGAGCTCCAGTGATAATGAGGAGGATGAAGACCCAGAGAAGAAGAATGAAGAACACCCAGCCCTGCCAAAATACCAGGGTCTTCCTCAGAGAGACTGCGGATCTGAGGTTTCACCTCTACCTGACTGGGAGGGTGGAGAGGAGGACCGCTCCAAGCAGAGAGTTGCCGACCTGCATCTTTCACACACCATCTCTAATGTCCCCACTTTTACCCTTCACAGTGAGGCTGGACCCAGTGCAGCAGCTGTAACCAGGTGTAACATGGGTAAGGGTACAGGCAACATGTCATCATCTGACTCTGAGGATAATTTTCCCGGAGCGCTGTGTACGTCGGAGACTGAACTAAGAGAGGACAAAGGGGGGGCTTGGGGTAAAGATGGGCCAGAGGCCTCAAAAGAGGAGTATCTTCACGAAATCCTGCATGAGCTAGAAGGAAAGTTGGAGAACCACCTTCACACCGAAATAAGCTGGGACACAGGGGATAGTAATGTGGATAGGAGTGGTTTCATTCTAGATTACAAGTATGAGGGGAGCGGAATAACAGTGGGAGAGGAACAATTTGCAGATGATGAAGAAGAAGAGGAGGAGAGGAGTTGGAAACAAGAGAGAGCGAGAATCGAGGCATTCTACAAGTTTTATAATGCTGAAGAGGAGAAGGAGGCTATGGGAACAGAAGGTGCTTTTTCAGGGAGGAAGCCTAGAGTTCAATTCTGCATGGATCCCCTTCCTCAAGTCATTGAATATACAGACAGGTAAGTGAAATTGCCTACATAAAATTACTCAAGACACCCGCCAACCAGGAAATGCTTAGTTCTACTTGAACAAGACATGTCATTTGTACTGTCACTGTGGTAGATGGATAAGTGAAATAATTTCCTATACTACCGTCTGTCTATTACGTTCTTAGCAGCAGTGACATGGATTTGGTCGACAGCTCATCTGACGGAGATGAGGACCTGGATTCTACAGCAAGGCTTGAAGTGAGCACACACACACACTCTCTCTCTCTCTCTCTCTCTCTCTCTCTCTCTCTCTCTCTTTCCTTTGGCCACCAACACATGACCATGTAGTGTGTCTATTTCAGGAGCAGCGCGAGCCTGAGAGACTGAGAATGAGTTTACCTGAGACTCAGGAGAGTCAGAAGCCACAAGGAGAACTACAAGATCTCTGCAAAATGTCTCGAACCCACAGCAAGAGAGACCGGGTAAGTCTTTAACCCACAGCAAGAGAGACCGGGGTAAGTCTTTAACCCACAACTTGCTGTAAAAAGGGCTTCATTGATTGATTGATTCCTCTGACACTGTGTTTGTGTAGTGTCTGAGGGTGCTGAAGTTCCTGGTGAAGATGACCCTGTTGACAGCGATTGGACTTTTGACATTCTGGTGGACAACAGACCAACTGGACTTGGACTGGTGATCTGGACCAAATATTGTTTTTGCTAACGACTATACTGTATCTTCAATGTGCCTATGCTTGAACATAATTAGATAATAATAAAGTAGCAGAAGCTAAGTAAAAAATGCTTACTTGTAAGGCAAATACTATCTCCTTATGCTGTAGTTGCTGTCAGTTTTATTTTCATCATGTCTTCATCTGTATCATGTCTTCATCTGTTTGGTGGTTAATAAAAGGGGTCTCTTTATATTCCCATTCAACTTTAAGGTTCAGTATTTTCCATATTTTTTTTTACATCACAGATACAGAAAGCTTGGATTCTCCACACAAATATAAGCCTTATTGTCTAAATTCTCTGGTACCACGTGACTCTTGCCAGAGCGTAAGAAATACCTATGAGGGCGCTGTCGCGGGTGAAATTGAATTTTCAAAAAGAGGAAACTGAAATAACGTTGTAGCCAGGGACGGCTTGTTCAATAGGGCGATATGGGCGACGCACTGCCAAACGGGAAAAGGAAGGGATTTTTTTTCTAATCAATTATAAAAAATAAAATAAATAAAAAATTATTTAAAAAAATTATAAATTTATAAAAGATTATATCACGGCAACAGCAGTTATCAGTGTTCACGTCTGATCTGCCAGCCACTAAATGTCAAATCAGGCTAAAGTCGTGCTTCAAATGGCCCGCCCGTTTTTTGGGCGATTTCAGTCAGGTTGAAAATCGCCCAGAAGTCTGTCATACATTTACATTTACGTCATTTAGCAGACGCTCTTATCCAGAGCGACTTACAGGAGCAATTAGGGTTAAGTGCCTTGCTCAAGGGCACAGCGACAGATTTTTCACCTAGTCGGCTCGGGGATTAGAACCAGCTACCTTTCGGTTACTGGCACTACGCTCTTAACCACTAAGCTACATAGACTCCCATGTAAAATCTATTTTTTTCACATTTCAAAGCTTTCAATACATTCTCTATGGGTGTCTGTGGGCATGCACTTACGCGCTTTCGTCATACATAACGTAACCACGAATGAACGTAACTAAGAAAAGACCAGGTAGCAGCCTCAATCAATTCACTACTACTATCAAAATGGCTAGGCTTCAGTCCAACTCGATTGTGTCTTTGAAAGAAGTTCCTTTTTGTCGGCGAACAAATGAAGATAAATTGGCAACGAAACAATTAGGACCTCCCAGACCAAATTTAATAATTCAACAGGTGTCTACTAAAGGGGGGAAGTCCTACACCCGAGGATTTTCCAAAAATTGGTATGAACGGAAAACCTGGCTAGCAGGCTGCGATGTAGCTAATGCAGTTTTTTGCTACCCCTGCTTACTCTTCCACCCTGAAGGCGGCACAGCAGACAGCACCGCTTGGACAGCGACTGGTGTAACCGACATGCACCATCTTTCAGAAAAGATAAAGAAACATGAGCTGTCAAAGACCCACATGGATAGCTGTTTGAGATTGTCATCTTTGGGAAGAGTGAATATTGCCACTCAACTGGATGAGGGATACAGGCTAGCTGTCCGCCGCCACAACGATGAGGTTAGCAAGAACCGCCATATCCTCAGCCGGCTAATCCAGTGTGTTAAGTTTTGCGGAGTGTTTGAGTTAGCTTTGCGAGGCAAAGATGAAACTGAGGGCTCCACCAACCCTGGTATTTTTCTTGGACTTGTCAACTTTGTGGCACAATTAGATGAGGTGTTTGATGACCATCTTAAAAATGCTAAAGTTTTCAAGGGCACATCAAAGACCATTCAAAATGAGCTACTGGAGTGTATGCTAGCGGTCACGAGGGAACATATTGTGGAGGAGGTGAAGTCTGCGAACTTCGTAGCTATCCAAGCTGACGAGACCACGGATGTTTCTACGCAGACACAGTTGGTGCTTGTGCTGAGGTACATAGATAGCAAGCACAAAGTGCAGGAGCGCTTTTTTGAGTTCCTTCCCATCTCGGAATCAACCTCAGCCTCAATCGCCAGTGTACTTTTGGAGAGACTGAACGGTCTTTTTGCCGATGACGAGAAAGTCAAACTCATTGCGCAAGCTTACGATGGAGCCAGTGTGATGAGGGGAGAGAAGGCAGGTGTGCAGCAGAAGGTGCGTGAGCATTTCAAGAATGCCCATTACGTGCATTGCTATGCGCATCAGCTGAATTTGATCATGCATCAAGCTACTTCTCGCATCAAAAAAGTGAACATTTTCTTTTCCGATCTGAGCGGGATTACAACGTTTTTTTCCCGGTCACCCAAACGCACCAGCATTCTTGACCAGACTGTTGCACGAAGACTGCCCAGACCTTCATCCACACGGTGGAACTTCAACAGCAGAGTCGTGAACACTGTCTACGAGAATCGAGACGACCTCATAGAATGTTTTGAAGCCATCCGGACGGGTTCATTGGGTTCATTTGACCAGCTTACTGTGAGAGAGGCATCTGGTTACGTGAGGATGCTACATGATGAAGATTTTATTTTTTTCCTGCGGCTTTTTCACAAAATCATGCCCCACGTCGACATTCTGTACCAGAAGCTACAGAAGAAGGACATCGATGCTGTCTTTATCAAACGTGCCCTCGACAGCTTCACAAGCAGTGTGCAGGCCATAAGGTAAGATTAAACAATATCATTCGATCTTTCTCAAAGCAGAGCTTTATTTGAAAATGTATGCATGAAAGGAGACTGCATTTGTGTTTGAAATCACATTATTCTCATTATATATGGCCAGTGGTGTAATCTATCTTATTTTATATACTATGTGTACTGTGCAGTGGTGCTCATAAGCTTATGATCCCATGCTAAAGTTGACTAAAAAGAGGAATAAAAAAATTAAAAAAATCATCTTTTGGAAATTGATCTTAATGACTTAATTAAAAAAGTTGGAAAATCCAACCTTTAAGGACACCAATTTTCTTTTCTTTTTTATTCCTCTTTTTAGTCAACTTTAGCATGGGATCATAAGCTTATGAGCACCACTGTATACTGTGCTGAACATCCAGGCTATGTGAGACACAAAGGCTAACTTAAACACTAAAGACTTTATGCATCCCTGCCCATTTTAAGTGGAACTTAAGTATTTGTACTATACATGGATACATTGCATATACCTGTGCATCACATAGACAACAATACTGTACAAAGCCAACAAACACATTGGTCTGTTTGCCTTCAGGGACTCCTCTCAACAGCAGCTGCAAGAAGCAACAGGAGCCAAAAGACCCAGAACAGCTTTGAGAGAAGAGGAGAAGCAGAGGCTGTCTGAAGAGGTCTGCAACACCATCCTGGATCACACCAAAGAAAGGTTCTCTTTCTCTGGCCACCTTGTGAGTGCTACCTTACTGCAAGCAGACATGTTTGAAAGGTACTGCCATTCATTTCCTGATGAGGCTCTGAATGCCACTGTGAATGCATACCCCATGCTGAGCAAGGCAAAGCTCAAGACAGAACTATCTCTGATCTATGAGAATCCTGAATTCAAGGGAGGCTGTGGTGCACTGGCACTGTACCAGGTTCTCATGAGCTACAACCTCCAGGAGACGTTCTCTGAGACTGTGACTCTGTTGAACATCCTCATAACTACTCCCATGACAACAGCTGAAGCTGAGAGATGTTTCTCAACTTTGACACGAGTTAAGACATTCCTGCGAAATTCAATGGGCCAGGAACGTCTGAATGCACTGGCCATGCTTTCCATGGAGAGGGAACTAGTCCTCAGCATGCCTGATTTCAATGAGAAAGTCATTGAACGCTTTGCTGTATTGAAACAGAGAAGAGAACAGTTTCAGTACAAGTAATGTAGCCTCTCTCTCTCTTTGTCCCTCCCTGTCTGTCTCTTTAACACACACACGCCCAAATCAGTTCACAGTTGATGTTGTTTAAAATAGTTTTTTTTCATTTTAAAAAAAGTAATAAAAATAAAAATCTGTTCATGTTCATTTTTACAAATCTATACAATTGGCCAGAATATGGTTGTTCATATTTACAAATCTATACAATTGGCCAGAATATGGTTGTTCATTTTTACAAAGCCATACAGATAGCTGTGTTTACCTTTTCTAGAAATTACTTTCAAATTCTGTTTTCATTCTTATTTCATTTGTTTATGGAAATGCATATTGTTTATGCAGTGTTGAGGAATGTGAAAGAACACCCTTGATTATTTTTACTGTGATAACTTATTTTGATTTTGTAAGCCAACACTTTTGAGATCAGTCAATAAATGCTTCTGGTATTGACTTATATGCTGCCCCTGTCTTCATGTTGTTGCTGGACATATCTTTTTTAAAATGTGTGTAGGTCACCTAAATCATCAGAAAAATTGCCCCTCCTGAGAATTTTTTCAGGAGCCGCCACTGGTTGTAGCAATCATAGAAATAGAATGAATAGAACGGGTATCCCCCATTCAAGTCAATGATGGCATAATGGTTGGACTGGTGGCCATTGCGTGAGTACGCATAGGAGGAAAGCAGGAAGTAAACGCAGGAAGTGTACCCATCCATATAAATCAAATCAATTTTTATTTGTCACACGCTTTGTAAATAACAGGTGTAGACTAACAATGAAATGTTTACTTATGCTGTGATTTGTTGATTCAACTCAATTGACATTACAAAAAGTACATTCTATTGCATGAGCCACATCAGGTAACCCAATTTAAATGAACATTCTACATTACCATTGAAATTATCGCATCACAATAACAGGCAGCCATTGCGAGTGTACCCATGAGTTTACCAGTCAAATTGCCAGGGTTAAAGCAAAGACAGTATGAAGATAGGCTAAAACTGCTTCTCATGGCGACGTTGTCTAGCTAAGCGCATGCGTAGAAACACTTCGTCGGGCCTAACGGTCGTCTCGTGTCGAACTGCGCATGTGCAAGCCGTCAACTCAAAGGCACTCCGATAAAATGTAGTTTTTGGCGAAAATGAAAACGTTTCAGTTTGTCACTTTTATGAGGTTGGAGTAATAACATGTTGAACTACCTAATACATTGGTTCGAATCTAGTTTGTGCCTTTAGATTTCGAGAAAATTAACAACTAAGGAATCATTTTTCACTTCTCTCATTGATTTATCAATGAGCCTGGTCTGTTTGTTCCTGTTTCGCAAGCGTTCCCGGGAGTCTCGCGATGTTACGCCTCAGGGTTTAGAAACTCTGTGGTTGGAGGTTCCAAGGCCGTTCTATTCATTCTATTTCTATGGTAACAATGCGTGGAAGTGGTTGGTAGAACATTGTTGATTTTTAAACTGTAACTGTTGTTACTGTAGTCAGTCAACGCGAGTAATTATCTGTCGCAATCAAAGAGTATAAATATACAGCCGACAGTATGGCCACGCTGGGAAATAAGTCTGACCAAGAAATCAGGGAACTATTGGACGAGTATGGAATTAAGCACGGGCCTATCGTTAGTAAGTAATGCTTTCATTTTTGAATTAGCTAGCTAACGTTAGCTAGCTAAGCTGAATAACGATTGAGCTAGCTACTGTAGCTAATCATTTCTAGCCTGCTGAGTAGGCCTGCCTAATAGACTACATGTCTATGACCAGACGGTCTCAAATGTACTGATGATATTATAATAGTCATGTAGCAATGGTTCAATTGCATTACTGAGCCACATCTAACATCTCTGCATTTTTGGAGACACTACAAGAGCCCTGTATGAGAAGAAGCTGAGAGAGGCCATGGCCAAAAACAATGTCACAAAACCATCCCCAGACAAAACCTTCTACAGAGAAGAGCGTAAGTTATACATACACGATAACACAATGCTACATTATGCATACAGCTACCATCTTTAGAATTACATTTTTGTCATTTAGCAGACGCTTTTATCCAGAGCGATTTACAGGACCAATGAGGGTTATGTGCCTTGCTCAAGGGCACAGCGACAGTTTTTCACCTAGTCGGCTAGGGGATTCGAACCAGCGACCATTGGGTTACTGGCCCGACGCTCTAACAGCTAGGTTACCTGCCGGAATGTTCGTTTACTTTTTCTTTCTTCATTTCAGAGGAAGAAGTCACCTATGTTACCTATCGGACACCAGTAAGTATCCAACCTTGGGTTGATTCATTTGTTCGTAGTTGCTTCTACAACCTGTCATTTTATAGATGGAGATTCAAACTGTTTTACCATCAATATTCTTCTGTTTCTCATATTTGCAGGTTATGAGTGCGGGGCCTTCTGGAGATGGGAAACCCTACATGAGATCAAGACCAGAGTACAGTGAGAGGGACTTTGTGGATGAGTACGTTTGTTTACAGATTTTTTGCATTAATAAATGTTGTGATGTTATCCAGTGTTTTTGTGGTCAGTTGGTTAAAGTGGACCAATAAAACGAATCAACTTGTTTCTCTCTCCTTTGCAGCAAACTCTATTCAAGATCAAGACCAGAGTACAGCAGCAGAAGACAATATGTTGATGAGTGAGTCTTGTTTAGAAAGATTTCGAATTGTTCATGTATAATAATGTTTTCATAGCTTAGTCCCAGATCTGTTTATGCTGTCTTGCCAAGTCCTATGGTCATTGTCATGCCAACAACAACCATATGAGTTGGCAATACATGACAAACCGATCTGAAACCATGCTAATGTTCAGGGATGTGATTCCTGCTTTTCTGACATTTATCCTCCATTCATATTCAGTGCCTTCAGAAGGTATTCATACCCCTCGACTTATTCCACATTTTGTTGTTACAGCCTGAATTCAAAATGGATGAAATTGATACATACAACATACACACAATACCCAATAATGACAGTGTAAACATGTTGAGACTTTTTTACAAATGTATTGGAAAATAAAATACAGAAATCTAATTCACATAAGTATTCACACTCCTGAGTCAATACATGTTACAGCTGTGAGTCTTTCTGGGTAAGTCTCTACGAGCTTTGCACACCTTGATTGTACAACATTTTCCCATTATTCTTTTCAAAATTCTTCAAGCTCTGTCAAATTGGTTGTTGATCATTGCTAGACAACCATTTAAGTCTTGCCATAGATTTTCAAGCAGATTTAAGTCAACTAAAACACGGCCACTCAGGAATATTCACTGTCTTGTTGGTAAGCAACTCCAGTGTCGATTTGGCCTTGTGTTTTAGGTTATTGTCCTGCTGAAATGTGAATTCGTTGCCTAGTGGGTAGCAGACTGAACCAGGTTTTCCTCTAGGATTTTGCCTGTGCTTAGCTCCATTCTGTTTATTTTTTATCCTGAAAAACTCCCCAGTCCTTAACGATTACAAGCATACCCATAATATGGAAAATGGTACTCAGCAATGTGTTTTGGAATGTTTTCTATTCTGTACAGGCTTCCTTCTTTTCACTCTGTGAATTAGGTTAGTATTGTGGAGTAATGTTGTTGATCAATCCTCAGTTTCCTCCTATCACAGCCATTAAACTCAGTTTTAAAGTCACCATTGGTCTCATGGTTAAATCACTGTGCGGTTTCCTTCCTCTCCGGCAACTGAGTTAGGAAGGACGCCTGTATCTTTGTAGTAACTGGGTGTATTGATACACCACCCAAAGTGTAATTAATAACTTCACCATGCTCAAAGGGATATTCAATGTCTTCTTTTTGTATTTGTACCCATCTACCAATAGGTGCCCTTCTTTGCGAGGCATTGGAAAAACCTCCCTGTTTTTTTGGGTTGAATCTGTGTTTGAAATTCACTGCTCGACTGAGGGACCTTACAGATAATTGTATGTGTGGGATACAGAGATGAGGTAGTCATTCACAAATCATGTTATACACTTATTGCACACAGTGAGTCCATGCAGCTTATGTGACTTGTTAAGCACATTTTTACTCCTGAACTCATTTAGGCTAGCCATAACAAAGGGGTTGAATACTTATTGACTGAAGACATTTCAGCTTTTCATTTTTAATTTGTAACAAAAATAAAATAAAAAAACAATTCCACCCTGACATGAGGTATTGTGTGTAGGCCAGTGACAAAAACATCTAAATTGAATCCATTTTAAGTTCAGGCTGTAACACAAAATGTGGAAAAAGTCAAGGGGTGTGAAATACTGAGCATACAAAACATTAAGAACACTATTTTCATGACAGCTCTCACCTGGCCAGTCTATCATCCCTTACTGGTCACATGTTAAATCCACCAATCAGTGTAGATGAAGGGGAGGAGACAGGTTAAAGAAGGATTTTTAAGCCTTGAGACAATTGAGACATGGATTGTGTATGTGTGCCATTCAGAGGGTGAATGGGCAAGACAAAATATTAAAGTGCCTTTGAACGGGGTATGGTAGTAGGTGCCAGACGCACCGGTTTGTGTCAAGAACTGCAATGCTGCTGGGTTTTTCACGCTCAACAGTTTCCCGTCATGAATGGTCCACCACCCAAAGGACATCCAGCCAACTTGACACAACTGTGGGAAGCATTGGAGTAAACCACAGGTGGTTGGTGGCACCTTAATTGGGGAGGACGGGCTCGTGGTAATGGGGAGGACGGGCTCGTGGTAATGGGGAGGACGGGCTCGTGGTAATGGGGAGGACGGGCTCGTGGTAATGGGGAGGACGGGCTCGCGGTAATGGGGAGGACGGGCTCGCGGTAATGGGGAGGACGGGCTCGCGGTAATGGGGAGGACGGGCTCGCGGTAATGGGGAGGACGGGCTCGCGGTAATGGGGAGGACGGGCTCGCGGTAATGGGGAGGACGGGCTCGCGGTAATGGGGAGGACGGGCTCGCGGTAATGGGGAGGACGGGCTCGCGGTAATGGGGAGGACGGGCTCGCGGTAATGGGGAGGACGGGCTCGCGGTAATGGGGAGGACGGGCTCGCGGTAATGGGGAGGACGGGCTCGCGGTAATGGGGAGAACGGGCTCGCGGTAATGGGGAGGACGGGCTCGCGGTAATGGGGAGGACGGGCTCGCGGTAATGGGGAGGACGGGCTCGCGGTAATGGGGAGGACGGGCTCGCGGTAATGGCTGGAGCACAATAAGTGGAATGGTATCAGATGCCATTTGCTCTGTTCCAGCCATTATTATGAGCCGTCCTCCCCTCAGCCTCCACTGCAGTCAGCATGCATCCCTGTGGAACGCTTTCGACACCTTGTAGAGTCCATGAGAACTTGGCCTACCTGGTGACGAATTGAGGCTGTTCTGAGGGCGGGGGGGGGGGGTTGCAACTCAATATTAGGAAGGTGTTCATAATGTTTGGTATACTCAGTGTATATCGAAACTGACCTATCCCCTAGCTAAGGGCCTGCTTTTCTATGTTGTCCTGATCACATACCTGAATGTAGTCATATTTGAGACTAAATGCCCCATTTTCAGGCCCCATGTCTACAACACACCATCATCCTCGTCCTACTCCAAACCAACGCCTGTGGTGAAGTCTGGAGGTGGTGTTGTGGAGGAGGAAAAAACAGAGAGCTCTGGGAGACTGATCCCTCTCTGGATCCAGTTCCTGGTCTTCCTGATCGTAGCTGGGTTCCTCTACTTCATATTTATCAACATGGAGTCCGCAGAGAGTAGCCCCTTTAACAGAATCCAATGATGACATTTACAGATACATTTCCAAATCTGGGACGTATTTTAACTTGTCCAATAAGAAAATCGCTAATTTTCAGTCGGACAACGTTTTAAAACGTTTCGCTACAGTGTGAATGAATACGACCCAGTGTTCATATTTTACGAATGTATTAAGGCACATCCCATGCCTGTTATTCTTTTTGCTTGTGGTTTATATATAAAAAAAGGTGACTGACATTGGGTTCTGCCATACTTCACTATTGGTTAAAGGAACGGCAGAACATTTCCTCCCGTCCCAACTCGTATATAGTTACTAGATGATGTATAGTATTCTGTTACCAAAATACGGTGCTTCTTTGGGTAATAGTGATGACAATTTCTCACAGTACTGTCTTGATCATCTTTAAAAAATGTAGTGTCCACGGCTTACAGTAAATTAACTTCCCACATACTATATATCAATCAGAAATACACTATATACACACAAAGGTATGTGGTCACCCCTTCAAATTAGTGGATTCCGCTATTTCAGCCACACCAGTTGCTAACAGGTGTATACAATTCCAAGCACACAGCCATGCAATCTCCATAGACAAACAGTATAATGGCCTTACTGAAGAGCTCAGTGACTTTCAACGGCAGTTCCTCAAATTTCTGCCCTGCTAGAGCTGCCCCGGTCAACTATAAGTGCTGTTATTGTGAAGTGGAAACGTCTAGGAGTAACAACGACTCAGCCACGGAAGTGGTAGGCCACACAAGCTCACAGAACGGGACCTCCGAGTGCTGAAGCGCCTAGCGCGTAAAAATCGTCTGTCCTCGGTTGCAACACTCACTACAGAGTTCCAAACTGCCCCTGGAAGCAACATCAGCGCAATAACTGTTCGTCGGGAGCTTCATGAAATGGGTTTCCATGGCCGAGCAGCCGCACACAAGCCTAAGATTACCATGCGCAATGCCAAGCGTCGGCTGGAGTGGTGTAAAGCTCACCACCATTGGACTCTGGAGCAGTGGAAACGAGTTCTCTGGAGTGATGAATCACGCTTCACCATCTGGTAGTCCGACAGCTGAATTTGGGTTTGGCGGATGCCAGGAGAACACTACCTGCCCCAATGCATAGTGCCAACTGTAAAGTTTGGTGGAGGAGGAATATGGTCTGGTGCTGTTTTTCATGGTTCGGGCTAGGCCCCTTAGTTCCAGTGAAGGGAAATCTTAACACTACAGCATACAATGACATTCTAGACGATTCTGAGCTTCCAACTTCGTGGCAACAGTTTGGGGAAGGCCCTTTCCTGTTTCAGCATGACAATGCCCCCGTGCACCAAGCGAGGTCCACACAGAAATGGTTTGTCGAGATCGGTGTGGAAGAACTTGACTGGCCTGCACAGAGCCCTGACCTCAACCTCATCGAACAACTTTGGGATGACGCCGACTGCCAGCGAGGCCTAATCGCCCAACATCAGTGCCCAACCTCACTAATGCTCTTGTGGCTGAATGGAAGCAAGTCCCCGCAGCTCTGTTCCAACATCTAGTGGAAAGCCTTCCCAGAAGAGTGGAGGCTGTTATAGCAGCAAAGGGGGAGACCAACTCCATATTAATGCCCATGATTGTGGCATGAGATGTTCGACGAGCAGGTGTCCACATACTTTTGGTCATGTAGTGTACTATGATTTGGTAATGGCTATTGGTGTAAAAGTCCTGACACAATGTGCCATCTACTTGTATAGTATGGCTTAGTCAGCCATACGCAGTATTCTCTCTGCGTCCTGGGGGGTATACTACAAAGCAGTAACAATGAGTCAAGTATTCTGAAATAACTGTATTTTTTAGGAAGATAAGCTTGTAATGGGCATGGTCTAACTGAATCAAAAGTTTAGCTTTCTTAATGAACAAGAAAATCAATTGTTATTTTTGGTTGTTTAAATGACACTACAAAGTTCTAAATGACATCAATGTTCTAAATGAAGTGCCTTAGCATTTTGACTTGTTAAAGGTTCAATTCACACATTTATACAAATGCAATTGCTGTGGTAGGTGTATTGTCATTCAAATGTTTGGTGTGTGTGATGTGAATTGTGGTTTTGTTAGATGGCTTTATGGCGACGTCACAAGTACACGTTTCTACACCTGCAGTATCATTTGTAATAATCACTTTTTGACGTTTCCAGACAACTTGTCTGTTTCATCAGAGGATATCACTTTGGTCACACAATAATGTTTATAAGCACAGGCTGTGTTCCAAAATGGCACCCTATTCCCTATATAGTGCACTACTTGTGACCAGGGCCCATAGGACTGTGGTCAAATGTAGTTAATGAGCACTATATAGGGAATCGGATGCCATTTAGGATGTACCCACAGTCTACAAATAAATACTTTTCAGCAAGACAGTAAACTGTTCGCATATATTTCGTATCCAGCCATTTTGAGTAATCTCCCAACTTTAAAATAAATGTTTCTGTATCAAAACTCAATTTCTCATTTCTTTCTTTTAACTTATTGAACACTGGCTAGTGGAGGATAAAATCTGTGATCACAGATTATACATATTTTTTATTTGTTCCCAGCTACATACGGTGAACAGAACTTACAGCGATATCGGTGAATGTGGTCATTCATATGACTAAGTAAGTAAAATATAAAAACCCTGGCCCCCATAGATTCTCTCTAGACATCACAACTAGTCTCTGTTGGAGATGGACATCACAACTAGTCTCTGTTGGAGATGGACATCACAACTAGTCTCTGTTGGAGATGGACATCACAACTAGTCTCGCTAAGTCATCCTTCCAGATCGAGCGAAGCCTGGGCTTCCGAGGTTACATCACAACTATCAGCAAGATGGTCCCAGATCTGTCGTTAGGGTCACCTCTACTGAAACATGACTACACATTTCTCTAACTAATCATGGATTGTTATCTGTGAGAGAAAGAATTAATGATCCTTGATGTAGCCTCACGTTAATTTACAGTGAAGTCTTGTAATAAATAAATACCAAAAAATGGATTCAACTAATAAATAGTGTAAATACACAACATATTAACAAAGAGACCTGGAGAGAACAAATTGATTTCACAGTCAAGCTTTCTGTCTGAACACCAGTATCATCAAAAACTCCTAGCCTGGTCCCAGATCTGTTTGTGCCGTTTGCCCACTCCTGTGGTCATTGTCTCACCAACAGTGGCAAGACAGCACAAACAGATCTGGGACCAGGCTATCAAACTACTCCACCAATCAGGAGTGGAGCTTGCCAAGCCTAAAGGCGTCCACATGCTTCCCAGCCGAAACAGTCCGGAAGAGTTAGCGCATATATTATGACGACATTTTGTGACGTTGTTGTTCGTTTTGGACTTCGGTAAGGGTTTTTGAATGTTGTTCAGGCACACATTTTTTTCTTGAGGCAAGCCGAAGTCTACGCCCCTTAGTCGGTGATTGGTCAATAGTAGAGATTCTTCAGTAAAGTCTGTTGTTATTCAATGAGACGACATGTTTTCATTGCTAAATACTGCACCGAACATCTTAGATGTAAAAATACGCAACTCAAATCTCTTCAGCAAAAACGTCAAAATTAATGACAGATTTCTTGAGTTACTGTATCTTCGATTAATTCGGACTATTGAGGAAGTGTATACTGGCTACGGCTTCTCAAAATGGACAAACAGTCCTACTGCCGCTTTTTTCTTGTTTTTCAAGCTACGGTCTTTTCAGGGAGTATGTGAGCACACTCGTTCGGTTCCCCTAGCCGACTTCGGCTAGCCGCCAGCCCAACTGAAGCATGCTGACGCCTTAAGTGAATCTTTCTTCAGTCCAACAAGTGTCCGCTGTTGTCTTGTTGACATCAATCGTGAAATAGTTTAACTGACCGTCAGTCTTATTCAACCATCATTTAACACTTTAAATCATTGGCATTGGAACACAGTGCTCAGTCTATTTTAATGTCCAGCCTTGTCAGTTGTAGCTGATTTTGACATGAGAACTGGTCCAGAAAGTGTCCAAGAGGGTCATTGTAGTCATTGTCCTTTTATAGTTAGCTGATTGTAGTGTTCATTACAGTGTGCCTGGTATATGGACGACGGCTTAACAAATCTACCTACAAGTGCTGTTGTCATGTTCTAATGCAGGATTCTACCAGGTTCTAGTAGGTTCTAGTAGATGGTGACAGACTGAGGCATGTCGTGTGTATGGCTCCAACGTAGTGCTTTGGTACTTGTCTTGTGTCACCTATATATATATATATATATATATATATATATATCTCTCTGTCTGTGACCCCATCCCTGAGGAAGGTTGTCAGCTCCGGAAAGTCTGCGTTGAGGGTTCCATCTTCAAACACATGGTCCTTCTCTTTCTCCAATATATCTGCTCATCTCATCATTTTATTGCTAAGGCAACATACGTGTTGTCCACACCTGTTGGTCAAATCAGACATGTAAAATGGACACGTCAGTCTGTTAGTGGTTATACAGGATGATTCTTCTAAATTAACTTGAAAGTGGTAAGCCAAGATAGCCTGGAATCCAAACTGATAAGCCCCGTTTCACCAGTGTTTCTATTAGTTTGGATTCCAGCAGGGTTGAGGTCAATTCTATTTCAATTCCAGTCAAAATGTGGAATTGGTTTACTTTCTGAATTGACCGGAATTGAAATGGAACTGACCCCAACCTGGATTCCAGGCTAAAGCTAGGAGTGGGACAATACAAGACAAGGACTCACAGGTTCTGGTCTCTCTCTCTAGCTCCGAGGGTTTCTTCTGTCTCTTGCAGAGCATGACTCTGGCAACGATGATGATGATGATGAGGAGGACAGCCACGAGGAAGGTCAGAGCAGACGCCAGCCAGCTGATCACCATAGGGCTCAACACTGGGTCTGGGTCTGATGAGGGGGACACAACCCAGATGGACAGACAGACAGACAATATGAGAAGTGATCAATGTTTTATATTACAGTTTATATCTTCCAGGTCTGAGGGGGTGGACACAACCAATGATGTACACAAACAAACATGAATATACACTATGTGACCAAAAGTATGTGGACACCTGCTCGTCGAACATCTCCTTCCAGAATCATGGGCATTAATATGGAGTTGGTCCCCCCTTTGCTTCTATAACAGCCTCCACTCTTCTGGGAAGACTTTCCACTAGATGTTGGATCATTGATGCGGGTACTTGCTTCCATTCAGCCACAAGAGCATTAGTGAAGTCGGGCACTGATGTTGGGCGATTAGGCCTGGCTCGCAGTTGCGTTCCAATTCATCCCAAATGTGTTTGATGGGGTTGAGGATAGGGCTCTGTGCAGACCAGTCAAGTTCTTCGACACCAATCTCAACAAACCATTTCTGTATGGACCTCGCTTGGTGCACGGGGCATGGTCATGCTGAAACAGGAAAGGGCCTTCCAGCCGACGCTTGGCATTGCGCATGGTGATCTTGGGCTGCTCGGCCATGGAAACCTATTTCATGAAGCTCCCATCAAACAGTTATTGTGCTGACGTTGCTTCCAGAGGCAGTTTGGAACTCGGTAGTGAGTGTTGCAAACGAGGACAGACGATTTTTACGCGCTAGGCGCTTCAGCACTCGGCGGTCCCGTTCTGTGAGCTTGTGTGGCCTACCACTTCCCGACTGAGCCGTTGTTGCTCCTAGACGTTGTTGGGTTCTATTTTTCTCATAATTGGATCTGTATGTGATGAATAGCTTGGAAGGAATGCATTAATGAACTGTACTGATATAAATTGTTTCACATAACAGGCTGTTATTCATGTAAGGAACGTTAGGGGTAGGACAGATAAGACTTGTATTTCTTACAGATACGAACACTCTCTCTTTGTTGTCTGTGAAACTGTCCTTGAACATGGGTACATGGAGTACAGTGGAATGGTGTCTTTTAGGTGCTGATTCCATAGGTTATAATGATAGCAACTTATGCCTGGCAACATGCCTGGCAACAATGTGCAACAAATGGAGTGCCGAGGAGTTGGGACCAACCCCTGCGCCAACGGATTGGCTGAACCACACTCAGTCCTTTGCTCTGGTTGGCCAACAGAAGAGGTGGAGGCTTTCTGTCAGAGTATTTGAAGAAGAACTTAGAACAATGGATCAGTTCTCTGAGTGCCCTGCGTGGTATCTCAGCGGACCCGTATATACGAACCTTCATACTTATCATACATACATTTTGCATATAATAAATTAAGCTTGGATTGAAGATCTCTTGATTCTTATTCCAATCCCAGATTTGAATTACGCAATTTCTAACAACGTTTCCACTTCACAATAACAACACTTACAGTTTACATTTTGTTACATTACAGCCTTATTCTAAAATGGATGAAATAGTTTTTTACAATTTACACACAATAATGACAAAGCAAAAACAGAAATTTTAGCAAATGTATAATTATTATAATTTTTTTAAATAATTAAAAACATTTTATGTAAGTATTCAGACCCTTTACTCAGTACTTAGTTGAAGCACCTTTGGCAGCGATTACAGCCTTGAGTATTCTTGGGTATGACGCTACAAGCTTGGCACACCTGTATTTGGGGAGTTTCTCCCATTCTTCTCTGCAGATCCTCTCAAGCTCTGTCAGGTTAGGTGGGGAGCGGCATTGCACAGCTATTTTCAGGTCTCTCCAGAGATGTTCGATTGGGTTCATGTCCGGGCTCTGGCTGGGCCACTCAAGGACATTCAGAGACTTGTCCCAAAGCCACTCCTGTGTTGTCTTGGCTGTGTGCTTAGGGTCGTTGTCCTGTTGGAAGGTGAACCTTCGCCCCAGTCTGAGGTCCCGAGCGCTCTGGAGCAGGTTTTCATCAAGGATCTCTCTGTACTTTGCTCCGTTCATTTTCCCCCTCAATCTTTACTAGTCTCCCAGTCCCTGCCGCTGAAAAACATCTCCACAGCATGATGCTGCCACCACCATGCTTCACCGTAGGGATGGTGCCAGGTTTCCTCCAGACGTGACGCTTGGCATTCAGGCCAAAGAGTTCAATCTTGGTTTCATCAGACCAGAGAATCTTTTTTATCATGGTCTGAGTTTAATTTAGGTGCCTTTTGGCAAACTCCAAGTGGGCTGTCTTGTGCCTTTTACTGAGGAGTGGCTTCCGTCTGGCCACTCTACCATAAAAGACCTGCTTGAATCAGATCTGTGCCTCGACACAATCCTGTCTCAGAGCTCTACGGACAATTCCTTCGACCTCATGGCTTGGTTTTTGCTCTGACATGCAGTCAACTGTGGGACCTTAAATAGACAGGTGTGTGCCTTTCCAAATCATGTCCAATCAATTTAATTTACCCCAGGTGAACTCCAATCAAGTTGTAGAAACATCAAGGATGATCAATGGAAACAGGATGCACCTGAGCTCAATTTCGAGCCTCATAGCAAAGGGTCTGAATACTTAAGTAAATAAGGTATGTTTTTTATTTTTAATACATTTGCAAAAATTTCTAAAAACCTGTTTTAGCTTTGTCATTATGGGGTATTGTGTGTAAATTCATTAGGATTTTTATTTATTTAATACATTTTAGAATAAGGCTGTAATGTAACAAAATGTGGAAAAAGGGAAGGGGTCCGAATACTTTCCGAATACACTGTGCGTCTATGGACACAACCCAAATGGACAGACAGTCATTATGTGAAAATAGAGAAAATGTTGCAGTTTTAAAAGAAAGTTTGCTGCAATTCTACACATTTTGCCATAGGGTGGAGAGTCATGTTTGCAGTTTTTAACATGATATCTGAGTGAGACTGACTAACAAAATCAATGGGGGCCCCCCCGGCCGGTAATTCGACCATGGTTTTGATAGCTGGTTGCTAAACTAACTTAGCAATCCCCCCCAAAATGTGTCTGACATGGGCTAATTGACTGACTATCAGTGACTGACATAGCAATACAACTGCTGATGCACAAAAACATTTTGAAATTGCACCTTTTGTATTCTACTATTTTGGGGGGGAAATTGATCAGAGGGCTTCAAAATGGGAGCAGCCAGTTGCCCATCCCTGCCCTAAATGCTGACTGCCCTGTCCTCACCTCTGATGGAGATGGGGAGCGGTTGGCTCTCCCGGGACACGAAGGTTCTCCCGCCCAGCTGGACCCTGTAGAGGCAGTAATAGTAGCCCTCGTTGGACCGCTGTGCGTTTGAGAAGGTGAAGGTGACGGAGGGAGTGAGGGCGGGCATCGACTGGCGCACCGTGCCGTTGGAACGGATCAGACGCAGCTGAAAGGAACCTCAATAAGGAAATTAAAAAATTTGAATATTGTGTTATCCTGGACAGTTTTTGTAAATGTAGCTATGTACTGCTTCTTCTTGCCTATATGGGCCGGTTTTCCGGAGACAGTTTAGCCCTGGACTAAAAAGCTTATTGGAGAATCTCCATTGAAATGGCTTTTTAGTACAGGGCTACAGTTAATATCCAAGAAACCAGACCAATTAGTTTTTTATTTATTTATTGTAAAATAAATCCAATCAATTAATTTATCAATCAATTAAGCTACCTCCAGGGTACTGCTGCTCGGCGGAGCAGGTGATGGTGAAGCTGTGGCCTTTGATGACAGAGCCTGTGGGAGCCTCGATGGACGTGTTGTACCAGTGCTGAGGGGTGTGCAGCTCCACTGGAGAGATGGGAGGGAGAAAGGGGGGGATCAATTTGACCGTATTCGAGTTACAAGATAGATCAAAATTACAAAACAAGTCAGTCTTTTTTTCTCCTGGAAAAGATGTCCGGATCTCAGACAAAACCAAAATGATAAAAGATGAGTTCAGTAGGGAGAACATGTTTTGAAATAGAGTGAAACGAGGAGGTACTACCTGTCCAATAAATACAAGTTTTCCCTTTTATGTTACAAAACATTTTTGCTACGGTGTGCCCTAATGAACTTTAGCGAATACTGTAGCAAATCTTATTTTTCTTCCATTTTGTATCCTACTAAGTAAAACAGGCCCCAGATGACTCACCCACAGTGATGTTGATAGAGTTGCTGGGTGGAGAGCTGAGCGGGGAGGAGGGAGAGCTGCCCTTGATCCTGTACAGACAGCTGTAGCTGCCCTGGTGGGTCGTCTCCAGGTCAGACAGAGTCAGCTCCACCCTGGTCTGGGCAGAGTCCACCCTCTGAGTCACCAACGGGGTGGCGACGCCCCTCTTATACAGGTGGAAGCCATTCAGGTGGTGGCCCAGTAGCACAGTGCAGCCGAAGCGAACCGTCTCCCCGGCAGAGAAGACAGTGTGAGGGGAGAGCAGGGACAGGGTGGGCGTCAACAGTGTACCTGTCAGGGAGATCGATACAGGGCCTTCAGAAAGTATTCATACCCCTCGACCTTATTCCACACGTCGTTGTGTTTCAGCCTGAATTCAAATTGGACTAAAATGATATTTTTTCCCCCTCACCCATCTACACACAATACCCCATAATAAAAAAAAAAAAGTGAAAACATGTTTTTAGAAATTTTAGCAAATGTATTGACAATAAAATACTGAAATATCTCATTTACATAAGTATTCACACCCCTAAGTCAATACATGTTAGAATCACCTTTCGAATTGATTACAGCTGTGAGCCTTTAGGTCTTTCCACACATGGATTGTACAATTTTTCCCCTTATTTTCAAAATTCTTCAAGCTCTGTCAAATTGGTTGCTGATCATTGCTAGACAACCATCAAGTTTTGCCAGACTTTCAAGCAGATTTAAGTCAAAACTAACACGGCCACTCAGGAATATTCACTGTCTTCTTGGTAAGCAACTCCAGTGTAGATTTGGCCTTGTGTGTTAGGTTATTGTCCTGCTTGAAAGGTGAATTCACCTCCCAGTGTCTGGTGGAAAGCAGGTTTTCCTCTAGGATTTTGTCTGTGCTTAGCTCCATTCAGTTTCTTTTTTTTTTATCCTGAAAAACTCCCCAGTCCTTAACGATTACAAGCATACCCATAACATGATGCAGCCACCAGTATGCTTGAAAATATGGAGAGTGATACTCAGTAATGTGTTTTATTGGATTTGCCCCAAACGTAACATTTTATATTCAGGACAAAAAATGTATTGCATTGCCAAATGTTTTGCAGTAGTACTTTAGTGCCTTTAGTTGCCAACAGGATGCATTTTTTTCAATGTTTTTTTATTCTGTACAGGCTTCCTTCTTTTCACTCTGTCAATTAGGGCTCCCGAGAGGCGCAGCGGTCTAAGGCACTGCATCTCAGTCGTCCGGGTTTGGCCGGGGTAGGCCGTCATTGTAAATAAGAATTTGTTCTTAACTGACTTGCCTAGTTAAATAAAGGTAAAATAAAATAAAAGTAAATTAGGTTAGTATTGTGGAGTAACTACAATGTTGTTGATCCATCCTCAGTTTCCTCCTCTAAAAGCCATTAAACTCTGTAACTGTTTTAAAGTCACCACTGGCCTCATGGTGAAATCCCTGTGCAGTTTCCTTCCTCTCCGGCGACTGAGTTACGCCTGTGTCTTTGTGGTGACTGGGTATGTTAATGCACCATCCAAAGTGTAATTAATAACTTAACTATGCTCAAAGGGATATATTTTTTTAACCCATCTACCAATAGGTGCCCTTCTTTGCGAGGCATTGGAAAACCTCCACGGTCTTTGTGGTTGAATCTGTGTTTGGAATTCACTGCTCGACGGAGGGACCTTACAGATAATTGTATGTGTGGGATACAGAGATGAGGTAGTCATTCACAAATCATGTTATACACTTATTGCACACAGTGTGTCCATGTAGCTTATGTGACTTGTTAAGCACATTTTTACTCCTGAACTCATTTAGGCTAGCCATAACAAAGGGGTTGAATACTTATTGACTGAAGACATTTCACATAATTCCACTTTGACATTATGGGGTGTTGTGTGTAGACCAGCAACACAACATCTCAATTTAATTCATTTTAAATTCAGGCTTTAACACAACAAAATGTGGAAAAAGTCAAGGGGTGTGAATACTTTCTGAAGGCACCATGTTATACAGCCATTAGGATAATTCCTAGCCACGTACATTGTCAAAAAAAACCCACAGTGGTTCCTCAATTAAAAGCTGAGGTTATGCTGCGGTTCATTGAGGTATATTATGGTCTGGTACGGTATATTGCAAGGATCATCATATAGATTCAGCCGCGGGCCGATTTGTTTCTCGAGCGGATGGTCAGGGGGCCGGAACATCATTACAAATCATTTGTAGACTGCAAATTGACCACAAAACATAATAATTTCAAACCTTGCTTACATTTGCATAAGATCACGTCTCTATGATGCGTGGGAATACTTGGGAACAGATTTCCTAAATTAAAATCACTTGGAGCTGATTTCCTGGTATTTTTACAGTATTTTATGTCCTACAATGAAAACTAGTGGTCCAGATAAAACCACCCGCGGGTCCAATATACCAGGGTTCCCCAACTGGTGACCCGCGGGTGGTCGCCAGTTGGGGAACCCTGGTATATACCACTGGCTTCCAGTTGAGGCTCGCATCTACTACAAGACCATGGTGCTTGCCTACGGAGCTGTGAGGGGATCGGCACCTCCGTACCTTCAGGCTCTGATCAGACCCTACACCCAACGAGGGCACTACGTTCATCCACCTCTGGCCTGCTGGCCCCCCTACCTCTACGGAAGCACAGTTCCCACTCAGCCCAGTCAAAGCTATTCGCTGCTCTGGCACCCCAATGGTGGAACAAGCTCCCCCACGACGCCAGGACAGCGGAGACACTTGAAAGGTATACCTGGAATAGTATAAAAGTAAGCCCACCCAACTACCTCATCCCCATATTGTTATTTATTTTGCTCTTTTGCACCCCAGTATCTCTATTTGCACATCATCTCTTGCACATCTATCATTCCAGTGTTAATACTAATTGTAATTATTTTGCACTATAGCCTATTTATTGCCTTACCTCCATAACTTGCTACATTTGCACACACTGTATATATATTTTCTGTTGTATTTTTTGACTTTATGTTTTGTTTTACCCCATATGTAACTCTGTGTTGTTGTTTTTAATCGCACTGCTTTGCTTTATCTTGGCCAGGTCGCAGTTGTAAATGAGAACTTGTTCTCAACTGGCTTACCTGGTTAAATAAAGGTGAAATAAATAAAATTAAATAAAAACATTATTATGGTATGTTACTGAACAGATGACAACAATAGAAAGAAGCATCTGGTAGCATCTCGATTTACAGCATTTCCCTCACTTTACAGCATTTCCTTCACTTTACAGCATTTCCTTCACTTTACAGCATTTCCCTCACTTTACAGCATTTCCCTCACTTTACAGCATTTCCCTCACTTTACAGCATTTCCTTCACTTTACAGCATTTCCCTCACTTTACAGCATTTCCCTCACTTTACAGCATTTCCTTCACTTTACAGCATTTCCTTCACTTTACAACATTTCCCTCACTTTACAGCATTTCCTTCACTTTACAGCATTTCCTTCACTCAGACAACAACAAATGTGCAAAAGTAGCAGGAGGGATGGGGCATCTTGTTGTTGTTTATAACTGCTGTCAGTCAAAACCCATACAGCGTTGTGAACCGGAGAACGGGTTACCACTAAAATAATCCTAAATGAAGGCCAGGATATAATATCAACAAGAGAATGTAGAATGGAACGAGTCACATTTGAATTGAAATAACCCGATTTAATTGAAACGACCAAATGTCGGCCTTTAACCATCAGAATATTTCATACAATATTCTGCCCATATTGGGACTCGGCTTGCTTGATCTTCTTCCTTTTCGCTTACCATTGGCCTAAAATGAAATATATAATTTAATGTAGCTCAGCTGGTAGAGCACGGCGCTTGTAACGCCAGGGTAGTGGGTTCGATCCCCGGGACCACCCATACACAAAAATGTATGCACGCATGACTGTAAGTCGCTTTGGATAAAAGCGTCTGCTAAATGGCATATTATTATTATTATTATTATTTTAAATCATGAAGTGTATTCATAATTGCATGGCATGGTGATCTCTGCTCAGCTTCAAAGGCCCTTATTAATAAATTGAGTAGATGTGCTCAAAGATGCCCTCTGGTGGTTTGAACGAGCATTAACGGCAAGCACTGTAAAGCTACACCATAATAATAATAATAATAATAATAATAATAATAATAATAATAAGCCATTTAGCAGACGCTTTTATCCAAAGCAACTTACAGTCATGCGTGCATACATGTTTGTGTATGGGTGGTCCCGGGGATTGAACCCACTACCCTGGCGTTACAAGCGCCGTGCTCTACCAGCTGAGCTACAGAGGACCACCATGGCATGACTCAACTTTTAATTGAGGAACCACTGTACAATCACATCACACGCATATTATCAATTCTTAAACGTTACTCCAACGTGGAAATGTTTTCTGTCCCATTTCAAAACCCCCACTATTTTAGGTGTCCTTACCTCCTGAAGCACGGGGGCCCCAGATCTGTTTAAACAGTTTCAACTGATCTGGTACTAGGCTATCCTCCTGGTCCTCAGTCTCACCTGAGCATTTCACCCCAGCGTCATTATCATGTGTGCAGGTGGGTTCACTGTGGAGGACCCTGGGACATCGCGTCAGGCTCGCCTCATGGCCCGAGCACTGGACGTGCCTCAGCCAGATCTTTCCGGTGCCCTTGCCAAACGCAGCTCCACGGAGGGCGTTCTCGGCCAGCCCACAGCCCAGCTCCTGGCACACCACGTCAGCCTCCCTCAGGTCCCAGCCGTGGTCACACACCGTCCCCCACTGGTTCCTCTGGAGCAGCTCCACGCGTCCCGAACAGTCAGTGTCCCCGCTGACTAGGCGGATTAACGACACGCCATCTGCAGACTGTATCATTCTGAGTGACTCACCGTCTGCATCTACATCCCAAGTAACAAGAGCACAGCCTGTATGGGAACAGCAAGAGAAAGAGTGAGGAAAACAGTACATTTTATCTATAATCTTAACTACTCAAGCAAAGCAGACATATCGATGTTAGCCGCTACAGTATCAGTACTCAACATGATGTCTCTGACACTTAACTCATCACACAAGCATATTGAAATACTTAAGTATTGAAATACGTAAGCTAGCTAATTCTAAAATTAACAGATTACACCACACAGAAAAAATATCGAATGATCACTGACCTAGCGTTGTAAAGACAAGTAGAATATTCAGCATCTTTGTCATTGTTCCATTTGACCGCAAATCGAGAGATGGTTCTGCTGACGTTTAGCTTTGATTCGGTTTTCGGGGAAACGGACTACTCAAAATGCACCGATAAGTGGAGTGGAGACCTTCAACTTGACACCACTATAGCTGGCTAACAAGTCAAACTACCACACTACTATCTGATGGATTTCGGCGTGTTAGCTCGTAGTACAGCTGGCTAGCTAAATTCCTTCAGTCACTGACACTGTTTTCGATCCTGCGTGGTTAGCTTAGCTGGCTAACTACAGGTCCGTCGCGGTCCTTCCTTTCGCGTTTCATAACTTATATCAAACATATACAAATATCAAACCGAGAAAACTACTCCGTGTCGTAAATATGAATGTTCTTTAACTACAAACCTTTTTTGAGAGAACGCGAAGATTATGGTTAAAAACATTTAATTGTTCAATATGTAGATATAGTATTATTTTTTCATCGATATATAATCACGTCACGGCTATCGGTGAATCCTTTCGAAAGATGAGTTGTTTTCTAAAACTAGCAAGACACATGTCCGCGACGCGTCGCACTTACGTAATTACGTAAGGAATTATACCAGTGTTTCGTGAACAACATTAGTGTGAGCAACAAAGTGGAATCGGCGGTTTGCCTTCAAAATAAAAGGCCACCATTGAAACATGCAAACTGATTTAAAAAATTGTGAAATCATGCCACAATTAAACTAAATAATGGTGAACAAGTTTGGAATGTTGTTGTATAAATTCAACAAAAGACAATTATTAGTTAATTTGATAAAAAGTCTGAAATCGCACTGTGGATGTCTTCGAATTCAGATTGGATCACCCATACACAAAAAAAAAAATGTATGCACGCATGACTGTAAATCGCTTTGGATAAAAGCGTCTGCTAAATGGCATATTATTATTATTATAATTGCATTGGGGGCATACTTGTATGCACTGTACAGCCTAGCCGTTGATCATAACTCTCAGTTCCATTATATTACACATAAGAGTATTTGGAGGAAGGCGTCTTCTGTAGGGGGAGTTTTGTTAAGATCCCTGACGCTTGATTTTCGAAAAACAAAAGGTAAAATTCATACACACGTTGATAGGGTTAGTGTTCCCACACGGCCATATCTCCTTGTTACAGCCCTTGTTTACGGAAAACACGGACGAGGAGGCGACCACGTGTACTAATTAGCTATCAGCACGTTCCAAACACCTGTGTGTAAGCGTAACTCGGGAAGTGTTGCTGAAATGTAGTTTAGTCGGATTGAGGCACCCATAGCTGTATAGAGCCCCACAAGGGAGGTGTCATAATACCCATAAAACCTAGCGACCAAACAGGGAAATGGTTCCAATGGTTTTTCCACCATTCATTTTTCCCATAGAGAATTTTAGAAACACTTAAAATAAGGGCTGTGTTTAGTGATAAATCCAAGATGGCGCAGTGCGGTCGTGTACTCTGTGTGTGTCCGTGTAAATAGACAGTTTTTTGTATATTTTTGTATTTTTCGTACATATTTCCCATCACACTTTTCATCCTTCTACTAAATATACTTTCCTGCAACCCACCTCAATCAATGTGGAACGGATTCTATTATTGACTTACCTTTTATCTAGAATCTCCAGTTGAAACTAGCTAGCCAGCTAACTAGCTACTTGCTATTAGCCACCGTTAGCGGTTTTCACCCAGAACATCTGATTTTCTGCCGGAATAACTGAATCACTGGACATTAACACCGGATCGCAACTAGCTAGCTGCAACCGAATGGATGTTGCTGTTGGCTAATCACCACTGCGCCCGAAGCAAGCACCAGTTAGCCTTGAGCTAGCCTCGAGCCAGGCCCATATCCCGGCTATCTACCTCTCTGTCTACCGGACGGGAGTAGCCAGCTAACTAGCTACTTGCTATTAGCCACCGTTAGCGGTTTTTCACCATTGTCCGTGGCCTGCACTACCTACCAGCCAGCTCTAGCCTGGACTATTATCGGCCAGTCTGCACTGTCTGCACAGCGCGTTATCGACCCAGAACATATCAGTTTTTCTGCCGGAATCACTGGACCTTTAACACCGGATCAGAGGCTAACCCAGGCCCTGCAGCCCCCAGTATCACTCCTACTCCCCAGGAGCTATCATTTGTTGACTTCTGTAACCGTAAAAGCATTGTTTTTTTTGCATGTTAACATCAGAAGCCTCCTCCCTAAGTTTGAGTTATTCACTGCGTTAGCACACTCCGCCAACCCTGATGTTCTAGCAGTGTCTGAATCCTGGCTTAGGAAGGCCACCAAAAATTCAGAAATGTCCATCCCCAACTACAACATTTTCCGTCTAGATAGAACTGCCAAAGGGGGTGGAGTTGCAATGTACTGTAGAGATAGCCTGCAGAGCTCTATCATACTATCCAGGTCTGTGCCCAAACAGTTTGAGCTCCACCTTTCCAGAAATGTCTCTCACTGTTGCCGCTTGCTACAGCCCCCCCATCAGCCCCCAGCTGTGCCCTGGATACCATATGTGAATTGATTGCCCCCCATCTATCCTCAGAGTTCGTACTGCTTGGTGACCTAAACTGGGATATGCTTAACACCCCGGCCATCCTACAATCCAAACTAGATGCCCTCAATCTCACACAAATTATCAAGGAACCTACCAGGTACAACCCTAAATCCGTAAACATGGGCACCCTTATAGATATCATCCTGACTAACTTACCCTCTAAATACACCTCAGCTGTCGTCAACCAGGATCTCAGCGATCACTGCCTTATTGCCTGCATCTGTAACGTCTCCGCGGTCAAACGACCACCCCTCATCACTGTCAAACACTCCCTAAAACACTTTAGCGAGCAGGCCTTCCTAATTGACCTGGCCCAGGTATCTTGGATGGATATCGATCTCATTCCGTCAGTAGAGGATGCCAGGTCTTGACATAGTTGCAGACGTCTTTCTCCATGTCGTGCCAGAAGAACCTCTGATGGGCGAAGGAGAGGGTGTGTGGCTGACCCTGGTGGCCAAGCCAGGTCGTGAACACTAGACAAGGCCTCCTTCCTCAGAGTCTCAGGCACTGAAATCTCTTGCTCTTGGTAAGTGGATCTTTGGAAGCTGTACACGATATTGATCAGCAGTCTGAGCTTTTCCCATTGCTTCAGAATCTTCAGAGCGAGCAGGTTCTCATTGTGATGCTCACGCTTGGATGGTCTGCGCTGATCACTCTGGAGATGGCAACATCATGTTGTTGGTGGGACTTGAGCTCTTCTATGGACAAGGAGGGGAGTGTGTCTTTGCCATCTGGGGCTAACGTGCTCATGTGGTCCACTGACACAGCTTTCCTAAGCAGCTCCAAATATGGCTCAGACAAGAGTCGATGACTCAGTGGCTTCACAACGGGTCCCTGGTCAGTGCGTTGGCCACAACATTCAGTTTCCCTGGAACATGCTTGATCTCGAAGCAGTATGTTGCAAGCTGGGAGACCCAGCGCTGCTCACATGCATCAAGCTTGGTAATGATGTATGTGAGAGGGTTATCAGTCCACACTGTGAACCTGTGAGCCAATGACTAAACTTGTCACACACAGACCACTTGAGGGCCAGGAACTCCAGTCTGTGTACAGGGTACTTAGCTTGATTGCGGCTGAGGGACTTGCTTGCGAACGCAATCGGTCTGGCCTTCTCTTCGGGAGAGAACAGCGCCCAGGCCATGCAGTGAGGTGTCGGTGGACAGGATGAAAAGCTTGTCGAAGTCTGGATGGGCCAACACCACACAGTTGATCACTGCTTTCTTCAGCGCCTCAAACACAGTGTCACAGGTCGGCTCACGGAAGGCATGGTGGTGGCCGCGTCATGCTGTGGGGATGTTTTCCAGCGGCAGGGACTGGGAGACTAGTCAGGATCGGGGCAAAGATGAACGGAGCAAAGCACAGAGAGATCCTTGATGAAAACCTGCTCCAGAGTGCTCAAGACCTCAGACTGGGGCGAAAGTTCACCTTCCAACAGGACAACGACCCTAAGCACACAGCCAAGACAATGCAGGAGTGGCTTAGGGACAAGTATCAATGTCCTTGAGTGGCCCAGCCAGAGCCCGGACTTGAACCCAATCGAACATCTCTGGAGAGACCTGAAAACAGCTGTGCAGCAACGCTCCCCAGCCAACCTGACAGAGCTTGAGAGGATCTGCAGAGAAGAATGGGAGAAACTCTCCAAATACAGGTGTGCCAAGCTTGTAGCATCATACCCAAGAAGACTCAAGGCTGTAATTGCTGCCAAAGGTGCTTCAACAAAGTACTGAGTAAAGGGTCTGAATACTTATGTAAAATGTGATATTTCAGTTTTATATTTTTAATAAATGTGCCAACAAAAACAAAAATGTTTTTGCTTTGTTATTATGGGGTATTGTGTGTAGATTGAGGAAAACATTTTTTAAATCTATTTTAGAATAAGGCTGTAACGTAATTTTTTTTTGGAAAAGGCTGAATATTTTCCAAATGTACTAAAGTATTTGGACTCAATCACCCGTAAAACACTGAAGTTTGATTATACATCGATCATTATTTTATGCGTTCTTGTTTCAACATTTTCAAAATGTTTATGTAAGCACTTTAGACTGTTTTATGTGTAATGACACACTGTATGAATAGTTATAATTACTGTCACACTGTGTGAATAAAATAGACTTAGGATACAAACCCGTGGGATTGCATACCAAAAACACAATGTACTTTACAGTATTTTTTACCTTTAATTATTTTAGTAGGGAAAGAAAGACTGAGTTTGCAAGCCACAGTATTTGGCAGTAGTTTTAGGTGTCCACAGTCCTCTCCAAACAATTTATGCAACATGTTATGAGGATGTTATGGTAATCAGAAACCGCATTGGATCGATAAAGGCTAATAGTCAATCACTAATATGTACCCTTCAAAATACTGTAGACAAAGTACAGTATTGTAATAATCTCAATCTGGCATATTGGTTCAATCAAAAGTGAAAACATTTACGTAAGTGTAGTTTGATTTGTAGTTGACATTTTCAGCACCTTTTACTGTCGACCACCAAGTGAAATCCTTAAAACACCAATAGTCCAGTGCATCTTTTCCAGCCAGATTACTGTAGTTTTACATCATTCAAAACAATGAACCGAACACTTGAGCCAATTTTATTGAGCCACTGGTCAAATAAGCATTCACGTTGTCATTATATTGTAAAAAGGTGATTATGTTATTTAACACAATATACAAATGAACCTGTATTTGAAAAATAATTGTATGATACATTACTCAGCGATAATTAAAAATCACACTTCAAAATCACCATGTGGTAGTGAATGAATAAAGCAGGAACTATCATGATGGAAGTGTGGTGGGTTCGTTGGCTCACAGTTATGCCTTTACCTTCTCTTCCTTCATTAGCGTAAAATGAAATAACCTGTAGCCCAAGACCTTGATGGATCTTTGGACATTCAACATCGATAAGCATCAGAGAAACAGTCAGACAATAGACAGTATAATAACAATAACAATAAAAATAATTTAGTTGAATTTAACAGTACTCTTCTATTCAGATGACCTCTTTATCTTGTCATGACAACGAAAACTGAAGTTCTTCTCAGATATGGAGTTGTCCTAGCCTGAATCCCAGATACGTTTGTGCTGTCTTGCCAACTCAACTTTAAAAATGACAGCAATGTAGTTGGCAATACAACACAAACAGATCTGGCACTCAGGCTAGAGTTGTCCGGTCAGTAGTACCACAATTCTTGAGTGTAAATTCTTCTGAACAACTTCTAAATAACATGCTTCAATTAAAACAAAATTATCTGAGTCCGAAACGGCATCCTATCTAGTGCACTACTTTTAACCAGAGCCCTAAGGACCCCTGTCGAAAGTAGTGCACTAAATAGGAGATAGTTTGCTATTTAGGATGCACCTAAAAAAAAAAATCTGTTTCAGGTCTTTGGATAACAGTAAAACCTGCCTTCAAATTCCCTCAAGAGAAACCAAGTCTCTAAAAATCAAGTCTTTCCAACAAAACAGAAATTCACTTTCTTCTGCAATTTCACGATTGTCTCTTTCTTGCCCAACGTGGCTTGGGTTATAGCTACGTCGTGTTGCCCTTCCATCTTGGATGGGCCGACCAAAACGGGTCTTTCCTTAGCTACCATGTGGTTGTCATTGTCGGTCACTGCGAGGAGTCACCCATCAGGTGGACAATGAGCTCGTAGGTGGAGAGGACGATGGCTGTGTTGGGGATCTGTCTGATGAGCTGTGGAACGAGTCCTCTGTAAAAAGCAGCGTAGCCCTCCTCCACTGCAACCAACCGTGCCGTCTGGAAGAAGTACTGGTATTTGCTTCCCTCTTCTCGCAGCCTTGTCCGAATCACCTCTGATGAAGGAAAGAAGGGGAGAAATGAAGAAAGATGCGTTACAATTAGAAAGTGATTTTGAACGCAGTTTATAGAGTATTTCACCAAAGACGGAAGGAATGTGTGGAGTTTTAGAAGTCCAGTTTTTCTAAAGGCTGCTCACTCAACTTAGTATTGAGTCATGTGTGTAGGTTGGGCCATTGTCAATTAAAAGCTGTTGCGTTTTGCCTCTTACGTCAATGTGTGTTGTTGTAGTTGAGGTGTGGTATGACAAGTTAATACCAAAACATTCATTTTATTCATACCAGTTAATCCCCATGCTTACCGTGTGGGTAGGCTATGCAGGAAGCACAGCCCTTAGCGAAAGCAGCTGCCATCATCAGGCCTAGGAAGTCCGACGCCCCTTTTTCTGTCTCGCTGTTTGGCGACGTGAAGCGCGCTTCGTTCAGGCGTTTCTTCAGCGTCTCGTAGATGAGGAAACAGATCATGGTCTCGGAGATGCCAGCGTAGGACGCCGTCAGCCCCCGGTAGAAACCTCTCATGCCCTCAGTCTTGTAAACGTAACGGGCACACTGCAGCGCGTTCGTCTTCCTCTCACCTCGCGCCCTGGAGAAAAGACAGTCAGTCAGTATTTATTTGATTTAAAACCCTACATCAGCAGTTGTCACAAAGTGATTTGGCAGAAAATTGAGAGAAGAGGTTAAATTAGATACGAAAAGCAAACATTTTCCTGCAGGAACGTAATTTATGGGTGGTAGCCTACAATCTGAACTTGTCCTACAAGAGTGGTTTTGCTATATTCTGCTAAGGTGTGCCCTAATGCAGACGACCAAGAACAGAGGTGTCAGGGGCACAATACCTAGTCAACAACACAACCTCAAGCAGATCAAGTGTTGTTTAGTGTGGGGAAGTGTGCATACAAATACTCAAGAGACCAATACATCCTGTATTGTAATGTCCACTGTTACTTTTTTTACCTTTATGAAATGTGCATTTAGCATGATACAAACTTTTTCGAAATATATTCATCTAACAAATTCATTTTTTCCACTAGTTAGCTATAGTTTGAGTGACCGACTACCTATATGAACAAGTCTGGAGGGTAGACGGGTCACCAGACATACTTGTAACTGTGACCTCACACGGTCCTACTGCTCTCTGCATCCCAAATGCCACCCTATTTCCTACATAGTGCACTACTTTTGAACATGGATTTGGTCAAAAGTAGTGCCCTATATAGGGAATAGGGTGCCATTTGGGATGCTGCTTCTGTGTAAATATAGCCTCGTCCTCCAACGCAGCCTAACGCGTCTGCAGCTGGGGTATTTATGGACCTGCCTGGACACGTTAACCTCTTAAGGATCTGACCCTTTTTTTCCCTCTCCAATTTCTGCCTAAAATGACATACCTAAATCTAACTGCCTGTAGCTCAGGACCTGAAGCAAGGATACGCATATTATTGATACCATTTGAAAGGAAACACTTTGAAGTTTGTGGAAATGTGAAATGAATGTAGGAGAATATAACACATTAGATCAGGTAAAAGATAATAAAAAACAAAAAAACATGTTTCCTTTTTTTCTTCTTAATTGAAATGCAAGAGAAAGGCCACAATATAATATTGCAGTTTAGGCGCAATTGAGATGTTGTCCACTAGATGGCAGCAGTGTGTGTGCAAAGTTTCAGAATGATCTAGTGAAGCGTTGCAATACTGGACTATTTTGTATCAAGTCTGCCCAAATGTGCCGAATTGGTCAATTGATACATTTTCAAGTACATAACTATAGAGAACATACAAAAATTATATGGTAATACAAAATATAAGTTTACACACTCCCAGGAATGTCATACATGATGGATCATTAGCTTATACACTTTCACACGTCTAGATGGCCGGTCGGGGTGTAATAGCTACTGAACATTGGACAGTGCAGTTAGATTAACAAGAATGTAAGCTTTCTGCCCATAGAAGACATGTCTATGTCCTGGAAAGTTTGCTGTTACTTACAACAGTCATGCTCGCATGTTAGCTCAACCGTCCCAAATACGGGACACTGATCCCGTAGAGGTTAAACCATGCACACTGCGTAACCCAAGGACAGCACAGCTACCACGATGGGGGCCCGTCAAAGATCACATTACATATGGTGGTGACTGGTGATACAGTGCATTCGGAAAGTATTCAGACCCCTTAACTTTTTCCACATTTTGTTAGGTTACAACCTTATTCTAAAATGGATTAAATTGTTTCCCCCCCCCCCTCATCAATCTACACACAATACTCCATAATAACAAAGCAAAAACAGGTTTTTAGAAATGTTTGCTAATTTATTTAAAAATAAAATAACCTGAAATATTACGTTTACATAAGTATTCAGACCCGTTACTCAGTACTTTGTTGAAGCACCTTTGGCAGCGATTACAGCCTTGAGTCTTCTTGGGTATGACGCTACAAGCTTGGCACACCTGTATTTGGGGAGTTTCTCCCATTCTTCTCTGCAGATCCTCTCAAGCTCTGTCAGGTTGGATGGGGAGCGTCGCTGCACAGCTATTTTCAGGTCTTTCCAGAAATGCTCGATTGGGTTCAAGGACATTCAGAGACTTGTCCCGAAGCCACTCCTGCGTTGTCTTGGCTGTGTGCTTAGGGTCGTTGTCCTGTTGGAAGGTGAACCTTCTCCCCAGTCTGAGGTCCTGAGCGCTCTGGAGCAGGTTTTCATTAAGGATCTCTTTGTACTTCATCTTCCCCTCGATCCTTGACTAGTCCCCCCAATCCCTGCCGCTGAAAAACATCCCCACATCATGATGCTGCCACCACAATGCTTCACCGTAGGGATGGTGCCAGGTTTCCTCCAGACGTGACGCTTGGCAATCAGGCCAAAGAGTTTAACTTTGTTTTAATCAGACCAGAGAATCTTGTTTCTCATGGTTCGAGAGACTTTAGGTGCCTTTTGGCAAACTCCAAGCGGGCTGTCATGTGCCTTTTACTGAGGAGTGGCTTCCATCTGGCCACTGTACCAGTTTTCGCTTTGTCATTATGGGGTATTGTGTGTAGATAGCTGAGGATATCGTAATAAAAAATAAATAAAATCAATTTTAGAATAAGGCTGTAACTAAACAAAATGAGGAACAAGTGAAGGGGTCTGAATACTTTCCTAATGCACAGTAATTACACTACCTACAGTTACCCTTTAATGTTCTGCTTCCATTAGTAGAATGTAAGAACTACAGAATAATAGAAAGGTGCGTACCTTCTCTCCAGCTGCATCCTCGTCTTAACCATCCAGACGGGGTTCATGAGGGAGTTTGTAACAAAGGCTGAAACAGGAAGTAGAAACAGAGAGCTTCATGTCATATCACTGGATGGAGCAAGAGAAAGGGACAGAGAGTTCATTTTAGATATCTCTGGATGGGAGTTCAGGGAAATAACAAGAAGGTCAGGGAGGTCAAATCCCCCCCCCAGGATTCCTGACAAAGCAGAAATTAAATCATTATACAACACGTTATATAATAAATATACACGTGTATTACATACACACATTTTGGTGGACAAAATTCCACTACTTTTTCATCACACTTCGGCGCAACAAAAACGTTACTTGTTTATACAGCAGGTATAAAACCTGTATTGTTTATACAGCAGGTATAAAACCTGTATTGTTTATACAGCAGGTATAAAACCTGTATTGTTTATACAGCAGGTATAAAACCTGTATTGTTTATACAGCAGGTATGAAACCTGTATTGTTTATACAGCAGGTATAAAACCTGTATTGTTTATACAGCAGGTATAAAACCTGTATTGTTTATACAGCAGGTATGAAACCTGTATTGTTTATACAGCAGGTATAAAACCTGTATTGTTTATACAGCAGGTATAAAACCTGTATTGTTTATACAGCAGGTATAAAACCTGTATTGTTTATACAGCAGGTATGAAACCTGTATTGTTTATACAGCAGGTATAAAACCTGTATTGTTTATACAGCAGGTATAAAACCTGTATTGTTTATACAGCAGGTATAAAACCTGTATTGTTTATACAGCAGGTATAAAACCTGTATTGTTTATACAGCAGGTATAAAACCTGTATTGTTTATACAGCAGGTATAAAACCTGTATTGTTTATACAGCAGGTATAAAACCTGTATTGTTTATACAGCAGGTATAAAACCTGCATGGCTCTATTGCTTTGTTTCATACAGAATACGAGTAGAGTGCTCCCACGTCCCCTACGCAGGCTCCCACGTCCCCTACGCAGGCTCCCACGTCCCCTACGCAGGCTCCCACGTCCCCTACGCAGGCTCCCACGTCCCCTACGCAGGCTCCCACGTCCCCTACGCAGGCTCCCACGTCCCCTACGCAGGCTCCCACGTCCCCTACGCAGGCTCCCACGTCCCCTACGCAGGCTCCCACGGTTCTATGTGGTCTGCTTCAGACTGGTTCTCACCTGCAATGCCAGCGGAGGAGATGTGCACCACTCCACTGTTAGGGACGAAGATGCCATTGAACGTCTCCTTAGACTTTTTGTAGGCAGCAAAATAAATAGCTCTGCAAAAGACAGAAGACAAAAAAAAATAATAAAGGGTGAGAAATCGTACGGACTGATTCCTCCTTCAATGCATAAACAAATGTACCTAACAGTATATTTCTTAGTGAGTGCGTGTGCCTCTCTTTCACTGTGTTTTATAACTGCAGTATGCGTTTATGTAACGTCACGTTTCCAGGTGCTGCCTGATGCCTGTGAAGCAGCAGCTTTTGACAGAGCCAGTTAAGCGTGCCATGTGTCCTGTCCAGAGCAGTCCGCGCCGCTTCTGGAACAGCCCATCCCATCACAGGCAGCAGCAGAATGGGTTGAATAAGCACGGAGGCAGGCCGGAGGGGGGGGTGAGAGAGAGATGGGTCTGGACTAGTGCTATTCTCATTCTGAATGCCTGGCAGCGTTTGGAAGCTGGCTGATATCATGGGGGAGAGTGGGGTTCAGCTGGCTGATATCACGTGAGGGGGTGGGGGGGTCAGCTGGCTGATATCACGTGAGGGGGTGGGGGGGGGGGGGTCAGCTGGCTGATATCACGTGAGGGGCGGGGGGGGTCAGCTGGCTGATGTGAGGGGGTGGGGGGGTCAGGTCAGCTGGCTGATATCACGTGAGGGGGTGGGGGGGTCAGCTGGCTGATATCACGTGAGGGGGTGGGGGGGTCAGCTGGCTGATATCACGTGAGGGGGTGGGGGGGTCAGCTGGCTGATATCACATGAGGGGGTGGGGGGGGTCAGCTGGCTGATATCACATGAGAAAGGGAGGGTCAGCTGGCTGATATCATGGGGGAGAGAAAGGATCAGCTGGCTGATATCATGGGGGAGAGGGAGGATCAGCCAACCACTTATTGACATGGGGTGGGGGGGTTCCCAGAGTGATCCCCCCCCTGCTTACTGAGATGACTGTATACTATGTCACTGTACAAACCCAAGGGGTGTAGAAATGTCCATTTATCTGAATGGCAGCGTTTGGAAGTTGGGCGATGACATAATGCAGAGAGAGAGAGGGACAGAGACAGACACCACAGTGAGGACGGTATACTATGTACTGTATGTATATCATGGCAGTGAAAAATTGCCATTTATATATACGGTCCATTGAGCCTTTTGTGAAGGACTCAGGAACCAAGTCTACACTGGGATCATCCGGTTACCTTCAGAAGCTGTATTTTCTGTGCCTGGCTGTTACGGCTTGATAGATAGTGTGGTGTGTGCTTTCAGAATGGCTTTCGAATATCTCTATCCGAGAGTGAAAACATTGACTCCATTAAACATTTAGCCAATTTGTTGTTAATGCTTACATAAAATAAGTGCCAACGGTGAAAGTAAAAAATATGCCCAGTCACACTTTTTCACCAGAAGTCATTAGGGAACATGGTAGCAAAAACTAAAACAAGCATTCCTTACTGGACACGTTCAGATTGTGCATTCGGAAAGTATTCAGACCCCTTCCATTTTTCCACATTTTGTTACGTTACAGCCTTATTCTAAAATGGATTAAATCGTTTTTTCCCCCCACATCAACCTACACACAATACCCCATAATGACAAAGCAAAAACAGGTCTTTAAAAATGTAGCAGAAAAATATTCTAAAAACCTGTTTTTGCTTTGTCATTATGGGGTATTGTGTGTAGATTGATGAGGGGGAAAAACGATTTAATCCATTTTAGAATAAGGCTGTAACGTAACAAAATGTGGAAAAATGGAAGGGGTCTGAATACTTTCCGAATGCACTGTAGAACCTCCCCATTTATGACCATGTTCTGCCTACTGAACAGGACTCTGCTTTCTGTTCTCCTTCATTACACTGTTCTCTTCACCCCACTGTTCTCTTCACCTTCACCCCACTGTTCTCTTCACCTTCACTCCACTGTTCTGTCCACCCCACCGTTCATCATGTTCACCCCACTGTTCTGTTCTCCTTCACCCCACTGTTCTGTTCTCCTTCACCCCACTGTTCTGTTCACCCCACTGTTCTGTTCTCCTTCACCCCACTGTTCTGTTCACCCCACTGTTCTGTTCTCCTTCACCCCACTGTTCTGTTCTCCCCACTGTTCTGTTCTCCTTCACCCCACTGTTCTGTTCTGTCCACCCCACTGTTCTGTCCACCCCACTGTTCTGTCCACCCCACTGTTCTGTCCACCCCACTGTTCTGTCCACCCCACTGTTCTGTCCACCCCACTGTTCTGTTCTCCTTCACCCCACTGTTCTGTCCACTCCACTGTTCTGTCCACCCCACTGTTCTGTTCTGTTCTCCTTCACCCCACTGTTCTGTCCACTCCACTGTTCTGTCCACCCCACTGTTCTGTTCTGTTCTCCTTCACCCCACTGTTCTGTTCTGTTCTCCTTCACCCCACTGTTCTGTTCTGTTCTCCTTCACCCCACTGTTCTGTCCACCCCACTGTTCTGTCCACCCCACTGTTCTGTCCACCCCACCCCACTGTTCTTTCCACCCCACTGTTCTGTCCACCCCACTGTTCTGTCCACTCCACTGTTCTGTCCACCCCACTGTTCTGTCCACCCCACTGTTCTGTCCACCCCACTGTTCTGTCCACCCCACTGTTCTGTCCACCCCACTGTTCTGTTCCCTTCCCCCACTTCTGTTCCACTCCACTGTTCCTGTCCCCACTGTTCTGTCCACCCCACTTTCGTCAACCCCATGTTTGGTTCTCTTACTCCATTCCAGTGTACTACTGAACAGAAGACAAAAGGCCCCATTTCTTTTTTTGGACAAATGCATGGCGAAAACAAATGTAATTAGAGACGTATTTGTCTTAATTCAACAACACAGCAGTAATAATATCTTAAAGTCTAAAAGCTGGTCCTTGGTAATGACAGTGTAAAAGGTGAGTGGTGAGTGGGAGGGAGGAGGGAGGGGTGGGAGGGCGAGGGGAGGGAGGGAGGAAGAGAGGGAGGGGAGGGAGGGAGGGGTGGGAGGGGGGGAGGGAGGGGAGGGGAGGGAGGGGAGGGAGGGGGAGGGAGGGAGGGAGGGGAGGAGGGGAGGGAGGGAGGGAGGGAGGGAGGGAGGGAGGGAGGGAGGGAGGGAGGGAGGGAGGGAGGGGGGAGGGAGGGAGGAAGAGAGGGAGGGAGGGAGGGAGGGAGGGAGGGAGGGAGGGGTGTTAAGGGTGTGGACACAAACACGACTTACACCAAAACGAATGCAGTCCGTGTGCCATATAGTAGACTTACCTTGAAGGGGCCACCCCAACAAGATTGGGACCCAGTCCCCGGAAAAGCGACCTTGGTCCCTCTTTCTCTAGAATTGACTATAAAAAATAAAAATAAAATAAGTCAATTGAATACACACTTTCATGTTTGACAAGAACATCTATTTAGGACGTGTATTCAGTGGTAGGGTTAACGGCACTGTACGGTCACTCCCACGTCTGCAGCGGCCAGGCAGCATTTACCGCGATGGGTATATTGTTCAATTTAATCATTAGTGATAATTCAGTTCATTTATCGCGATATGAATTTTTGGCCATATCACCCACACCACTGGAGATTGTTTTGGACGAGATCCTACTCTCACCCAGTCCCCTTTGAAACTGGAAATGCACTATGAAATCAGTCTCTTCTGGGGGATTGACTTCTCACTCTCTCTCACACACACACAGGAGAGAATTACATTTATTCCAGTAGCAGAAAAATAGGTATAGCCCAGATGGGTGGACACAACAGGACTAAAGCATAAGTACCGCTCTCTGCTGTAAACCTTTATTTAAAGGACACTGTTATTCGCACCTTTTGTTTTCCCCTCACTGTAACGACGTCATTTAATTCAATTCGGCCTCAAAAGAAACACCCTTCAGGAAATAAAGGATTTAGAAGTTCTCATGTTATGGATTTACAGAGCTAGTTATCCTGTCACTACAGACAACATTGGATAAACAAGGATTTTGGAGACGAGGTTCATTCAACGATTATTGGCGAAATTAACCAAAATGGATGCTTGAAGATTGTGGAGTCACTTATAATTACAATGGCCCACTTCCAAGCGTCATTTTTGGTCAGTTTCAAAGGTCAAATGTTAAAACTGCACTGGGTGAAAAGGTTGAGAATATTATTTGAGCCATTCACCTCTGAACCATTCAGCCGAGTCCAGTCCAGACTGGTTCAGTCAGTCAGCCAAAGGCCCCCAGCAGTAAACCCTTGAGGTGAGAAACATGAGAAACCACAGACCACATTCGGGACGTCATTCAGCACTGCTTCCTCCTCGTGTTCAATTTGGCAGAGGCACAGTCACGCCCATCGCTTTCACACTGTACGTGGTCTGAGGCAACCTTCCCTGCCCAAAACAGGTCCTGGGCCTCAGGCGAGGGACATTTCCACAGGTGGCATCAGCACTTACGTAAGTGTCCTCGCTGTACTGTGTGTCAGAGCGTGTGCGGGCGCTCCCCACAGCTGGCAAACATCTCTTAGATTACAACAGGATACTCTGTCTTTAATCTCTAGTACTTGCATATATAAAAAACAGGATTAATTGAATGGCCTTTAAAATTAGTAGCATCAGACGTCAAAGCCAGGAACACGCTAGCCTCAGATGAGCCTCCTCTTTAGACAAGAGTAGAGACACAGGCCCGTTTACACAACTAGGGGCAGCATCCCAAATTGCACCCTATTCTAGGGGCAGCATCCCAAATTGCACCCTATTCCCTACTACTTCTGACCAGGGCCCATAGGACAAAACATGTTCTAGCCTATTCTTAGCCTGGCAGCCCTGCGTGTGGCCTGGCACAACACCACTACCACAGATCCCGAAGGCTACATTCTGCAGCAAGACAATGATCCTAAAACACACAATCAAGTCTACGTGAAAATGGTTAAAAAGCAACACATTTTAAAGTTTTGGAATAGCCTAGTCAAAGTCCAGACCTAATCCCAATTGAGATGTGACAGGACTTGAAATGAGCAGTTCATGCTTGAAAACCCACAAAATTGTCGCTGAGATAAAGCAGTTCTGTATGAAAAAAAAATGTATGCACTCACTAACTGTAAGTCGCTCTGGATAAGAGCGTCTGCTAAATGACTAAAATGTAAAATCTTAGGATTTGACTGCTACCTCTCGGGTTGGGTAGCAAGGAATCACGAGAATGGTCTTTTAAGTAATCACTGATCTGACATACGTAGAATGGTGTACTATAACAAGCTTTCCATTGCTTTCACAATTATGTCATGTCAGAAGCGTGGAATGAAGCATTCATTTCAAGAGTATTCAAAAATTCCTCCACAGCAATGTGAGAGACTGATCAGCAACTACAGGAAGCATTTAGTTACAGTCGTTGCAGGTAAAGGTGGCACATCCAATTGCTGTTTATATTCAGAACCACATTCCTGTAAAGATTAGAGACGATCTCATGTTAAATACTGTTTAAGTAATATGGCTACAGGTTCATCTGCCTCACCTAAAGCCCATTCTGGTGGGAAGCTGCTATAGACCAAGTGCTAACAGCCAGTATCTGGATAATATGTATGAAATACTTGATAATGTATTTGCCATCAACAGAGAGGTATATTTTCTGGGTGATTTAAATACTGACTAGCTTTCATCAAGCTGCCCACTCAAGAAAAAGCTTCAAACTGTAACCAGTGCCTGCAACCTGGTTCAGGTTAAAAGTCAACCTTCCAGGGTAGTTACAAACAGTACGGGAATGAAATCATCAACAGGTATTGATCATATCTTTACTAATGCTGCAGAGATGTAGTGATCACAATATAGTAGCCATATCTAGGAAAACCAAAGTTCCAAAGGCTGGGCCTAATATAGTGTATAAGAGGTCATACAATAAGTTTTGTAGTGATTCCTATGTTGTTGATTTAAATAATATTTGTTGGTCCGTGGTGTGTAATGATGAGCAACCAGACACTGCACTTGACACATTTATGAAATTACTTATCCCAGTTACTAATAAGCATGCACCCATTAAGAAAATGACTGTATAGGCTGGAAGTAGAGGCCTGGGCATTGTTGTTCACTAATTTACCCCAAGTAGGGAAAGGATGGCGGGGTTGAAAAGTAATAAAGGGGAGTATATATATATAAAAAAACATGGGGGATTGGAAGTGATGCAGACAATTACATTGATGGAAGTTACAATCTGCAATATTAAGCTGATCTACCCCTCAAAAAAATAAAAAATAAAATAAAAAGATTAAAAACTGCTAAATCCCTGTGAATTGATGAGGAATTGAAAAGTTATATTGTTGGGAGGGATGAGGCAAAAGGAATGACAAATAAGTCTGGCTGCACAACCGATTGGCAAACGTATTGCAAATTGAAAAATCATGTGACTAAACTGAATAAAAAGAAGAAGAAACTACACTATGAAACAAAGATAAATGACAAAGAATGATAGTAAAAGCTTTGGAGCATCTTCAATGACATTTTGGGAAAAAAGGCAAACTCAGCTCCATCATTCATTGAATCAGATGGCTCATTCATTACAAAACCGACTGATATTGCCAACTACTTTAATGATTTTTTCATTGGCAAGATTAGCAAACTTAGCCATGACATGCCAGCAACAAACACTGACACTACACACCCAAGTATATCTGACAAAATTATGAAAAGACAAGAATTGTAATTTTGAATTCCGTAAAGTGATTGTGGAAGACGTGAAAACATTATTGTTGTCTATCAACAATGACAAGCCATCCGGGGTCTGACAATCTGGATGGAAAATTACTGAGGATAATAGCGGACGATATTGCCACTCCAATTTGCCATATCTTCAATTTAAGCCTACTAGAAAGTGTGTGCCCTCAGGTTTGGAGGGAAGCAAAAGCCACTCTGTTACCCAAGAATAGTAAAGCCCCTTAACTGGCTCAAATAGCCGACCAATCAGCCTGTTACCAACCCTTAGTAAACTATTGGGAAAAATTGTGTTTGACCAGATAAATGCTATTTTACAGTAAACAAATTGACAAAAGACATTCAGCATGCTTATAGGGAAGGACATTCAACAAGCACAGCACTTACACAAATGACTGATGATTGGCTGAGAGAAATTGATGATAAAAAGATTGTGGGGGCTGTTTTGTTAGACTTCAGTGCAGCTTTTGACATTATCGGTCATAGTCTGCTGCTGGAAAAACAGATGTGTTATGGCTTTACACCCCCTGCTATAATGTGGATACAGAGTTACCTGTCTAACAGAACACAGAGGGTGTTCTTCAATGGAAGCCTCTCCAACATAATCCAGGTAGAATCAGGAATTCCCCAGGGCAGCTTTCTAGGCCCATTACTTTTTTCAATCTTTACTAATGACATGCCACTGGCTTTGAGTAAAGCCTGTGTGTCTATGTATGCGGATGACTCAACACTGTACATGTCAGCTATTGCAGCGACTGAAATGACTGCAACACTTAACAAAGAGCTGCAGTTAGTTTTAGAATGGGTGGCAAGGAATAAGTTAGTCCTAAATATTTCAAAAACTACAAGCATTGTATTTGGGACAAATCATACACTAAACCTCAACTGAATCTTGTTATAAACAATGTGGAAATTGAGCAAGTTGAGGTGACTAAACTGCTTGGAGTAACCCTGGATTGTAAACTGTCATGGTCAAAACATATTGATACAACAGTAGCTAAGATGGGGAGAAGTCTGTCCATAATAAAGCGCTGCTCTACCTTCTTAAACAGCACTATCAACAAGGCAGGTCCTACAGGCCCTAGTTTTGTCACACCTGGACAACGGTTCAGTCGTGTGGTCAGGTGCCACAAAGAGGGATTTAGGAAAATTGCAATTGGCTCAAAACAGGGCACCACGGCTGGCCCTTAAATGTACACAGAGAGCAAACATTGATAATATGTATGTCAATCTCTCCTGCCTCAAAGTAGAGGAGAGATTGACTTCATCACTACTTGTATTTGTGAGAAGTATTGACACATTCAAAGCACCGAGCTGTCTGTTTAAATGACTAGCACACCGCTCAGACACCCATGCATACCCCACAGGACATGCCACCAGAAGTCTCTTCACAGTCCCCAAGTCCAGAACAGACTATGGGAGGCGCACAGTTCTACATACAGTGAGGGGGAAAAAGTATTTGATCCCCTGCTGATTTTGTACGTTTGCCCACTGACAAAGACATGATCAGTCTATAATTTTAATGGTAGGTTTATTTGAACAGTTAGAGACAGAATAACAACAAAAAACACATGTCAAAAATGTTATAAATTGATTTGCATTTTAATGAGGGAAATAAGTATTTGACCCCTCTGCAAAACATGACTTAGTACTTGGTGGCAAAACCCTTGTTGGCAATCACAGAGGTCAGGCGTTTCTTGTAGTTGGCCACCAGGTTTGCACACATCTCAGGAGGGATTTTGTTCCACTCCTCTTTGCAGATCTTCTCCAAGTCATTAAGGTTTCGAGGCTGACGTTTGGCAACTCGACCTTCAGCTCCCTCCACAGATTTTCTATGGGATTAAGGTCTGGAGACTGGCTAGGCCACTCCAGGACCTTAATGTGCTTCTTCTTGAGCCACTCCTTTGTTCTTGGGGTCATAGGCAGCATTCCTCCTCCTCCAAACATGGCGAGTTGAGTTGATGCCAAAGAGCTCCATTTTGGTCTCATCTGACCACAATACTTTCACCCAGTTCTCCCCTGAATCATTCAGATGTTCATTGGCAAACTTCAGACGGCCCTGTATATGTGCTTTCTTGAGCAGGGGGACCTTGCGGGCACTGCAGGATTTCAGTCCTTCCCGGCGTAGTGTGTTACCAATTGTTCTCTTGGTGACTATGGTCCCAGCTGCCTTGAGATCATTGACAAGATCCTCCCGTGTAGTTCTGGGCTGATTCCTCACCGTTCTCATGACCATTGCAACTCCACGAGGTGAGATCTTGCATGGAGCCCCAGGCCGAGGGAGATTGACAGTTCTTTTGTGTTCCATTTGCAAATAATCGCACCAACTGTTGTCACCTTCTCACCAAGCTGCTTGGCGATGGTCTTGTAGCCCATTCCAGCCTTGTGTATCTTGTCCCTGACATCCTTGGAGAGCTCTTTGGTCTTGGCCATGGTGGAGAGTTTGGAATCTGATTGATTGATTGCTTCTGTGGACAGGTGTCTTTTATACAGGTAACAAACTGAGATTAGGAGCACTCCTTTTAAGAGTGTGCTCCTAATCTCAGCTCGTTACCTGTATAAAAAGACACCTGGGAGCCAGAAATCTTTCTGATTGAGAGGGGGTCAAATACTTATTTCCCTAATTAAAATGCAAATCAATTTATAACATTTTTGACATGCGTTTTTCTGGATTTTTTTGTTGTTATTCTGTCTCTCACTGTTCAAATAAACCTACCATTAAAATTATACACTGATCATTTCTTTGTCAGTGGGCAAACGTACAAAATCAGCAGGGGATCAAATACTTTTTCCCCCTCACTGTAGAGACATGGCTACATGGAACTCTACTCCACATCAGTTAACTGATGCAAGCAGTAAAATCAGATTTAAAAAACAGATAAAAATACACCTTATGGAACAGCGGGGACTGTGAAGCAACACAAACATAGGCTCCTGAGTGGTGCAGTGGTCTAAGGCACTGCATCGCAGTGCTAACTGTGCCACTAGAGATCCTGGTTCGAATCCAGGCTCTGTCGCAGCCGGCCGCGACCGGGAGACTCATGGGCGGCGCACAATTGGCCCAGTGTCGTCCAGGGTAGGGGAGGGAATGGCCGGCAGGGATGTAGCTCAGTTGATAGAGCATGGCGTTTGCAACGCCAGGGTTGTGGGTTCGATTCCCATGGGGGGCCAGTATAAAAAAAAAAATGTATTCACTAACTGTAAGTCGCTCTGGATAAGAGCGTCTGCTAAATGACTAAAATGTAAAATGTAAATGTAAATAGGCACAGACACATGCATACACTCACATGATAACATACACACTATACACACACGTACACATGGATTTTGTCTTGTAGATATGTGGTAGTAGAGTAGGGGCCTGAGGGCACACAGTGTGTTGTGAATGCATTGTAATGTTTTTAAAATTGTATAACTGCCTTCATTTTGCTGGCCCCAGGAAGAGTAGCTGCTGCCTTGGCAGGAACTAATGGAGATCCATAATAAACCCCAGGAAGAGTAGCTGCTGCCTTGGCAGGAACTAATGGAGATCCATAATAAACCCCAGGAAGAGTAGCTGCTGCCTTGGCAGGAACTAATGGGGATCGATAATAAGTACAAATAGAGTGGAAATAAAATATGTACCTTTTTTTTGTTATTTGTAAACTCAGGTTCCCTTTATCTAATATTAGGTTTTGGTTGAAGATCTGATAACATTCAGTATCAAGAATTGCAAAAATAAGAGAAAATCAGAAAGGGGCAAATACTTTTTCACAGCCCTGTACACAACATGGTGAAGCCATTACCACAAGACCTGTGGTAGCCCCACACTTATAAGAGCCCTTACCGTAAGACCCTTAGTAGACTAGCCCCATGATAATAAGGAGAAGGACAACCCCTTACCGTAAAACCCATAGTAGACTAGCCCCACGATAATAAGGAGAAGGACAACCCCTTACCGTAAAACCCATAGTAGACTAGCCCCACGATAATAAGGAGAAGGACAACCCCTTACCGTAAGACCCATAGTAGACTATCCCCACGATAATAAGGACAACCCCTTACCGTAAGACCCATAGTAGACTAGCTCCACGCTAATAAGAAGAAGAGGGACAACCCCTTACCGTAAGACCCATAGTAGACTAGCTCCACGCTAATAAGAAGAGGGACAACCCCTTACCGTAAGACCCATAGTAGACTAGCTCCACGCTAATAAGAAGAAGAAGAGGGACAACCCCTTACCGTAAGACCCATAGTAGACTAGCCCCACGCTAATAAGGAGAAGGACAACCCCTTACCGTAAGACCTGCAGCAGGCCAGGTGGTGTAACGGTGCCTGAGCCTGGTCTGATGACCCCAGTACCATTGAGCGTGCCCAGTTGGACCTGGAACACAGGCCGGAGCGCGAGGCCTGACGACTGCAACCTGGTCTTCAGCACCTCCAGAGGACAGGTCACGATGGCTCCCACCGTACCACTACATCTGTAGAGAGGAAGATGAACATACGGTAACATTTATATAACACGGTAATAACACGGTAATAATACATTCCTAATCTCAGGCCGTTTTAGTCAGGTTTACTACATCTGCACAGAGAATAGGAAAACAATTAATCAATTAACATGGCGGACGACAATAGAGACTGAGCTCCGATAACGGTGGAAAAGATGACCATAGACCTCCAGAGGTGGAGAGCCTTAGCTGTTGCCCTCAGCAAGTGAACCAGCCTTTTGACAGGCCAATGGTAGACTATAAAATACAAAAACGAACGTCTATTTATATTTGTGCAATTTGTGGTGTCGTATGATTATACCGGGTGAAGTAAAGGAGTCCTGCTGTCTTGTTTCAGTGTTAACAGTGAGATTCAGTAGGGTCACATTTCCCCAGAAATTGTTTATTTCTCCCTCTCTCAAGGAATGTATATTTCACCATCAAGATACAGAACAGTAGTTATGCAGTAGCAGCTACACAGTGCTTTTATGGCATTACTAAAGAGACAGTGTCATGAACAGGCTCTCAAATGTACTCTATACACATCCGGTACGAAAGGTCATTGAACCCAGATGCTGTCATTTGACTGAAGCTACAGATGGAACAGAATAAGGGGACAGGGTCTTACAGCCTAACCCTACATAGCCGTTTCTAAATGTCCAAACCATGCACTTCATTTGATTTATGACCTCAAACAAGTGAGGAATAGTCTTGCGTCACGGAAGACATTAACCTGTCTACAATCCCCGTCCATCCAAGACAAGTTTAGGTGTGACATACGGAATCAGATTAGTTTAGCATAACCTCTAGTTGCAGGGGTGTCGAAATCATTTTGCCCCCCGGGGGGACCGCATTCGGTCTTCAACGAGGTCCGGAGGACCGCACTGAAAATGGGTTATTTCCTTGCCGTCGTAATGTGAAAACAGTTGCTTTTGTTTTGGTGATTATTAGCGAGCTGGAAACAGTCAAGATTTGGTATTAGTTCTTTTTTTTTTATTATTTATTATTGAGTTACATCATAATATTTTAAACATACAGTGCCTTCAGAAAGTATTCATAACTCTTGACTTTTTCCACATTTTGTTGTGTTAAACACATAATGACAAAGTGAAAACATGTTGAGACATTTTTTGCAAATGTATTGAAAATCTACTTTGCATAAGTATTCACACCCGAGTCAATACATGCTAGAATCACCTTTGGCAGCGATTACAGCTGAGAGTCTGTTTGGGTAAGTCTACGAGCTTTGCACACCTGGATTTATTTGTATTCTTCAAGCTCTGTCAAGTTGGTTGTTGATCATTGCTAGACAGATATTTTCAAGTCAATTTAAGTCAAAACTGTAACTAGGCCACTCAGGAACATTCTAAATTATGTTGTGTTGGTAAGCAACTCCAGTGTATATATGGCCTTGTGTTTTAGGTTATTGTCCTGCTGAAAGGTGAATTTGTCTCCCAGTATTTGTTGGAAAGCAGACAACCAGGTTTTCCTCTAAGATTTTGCCTGTGCTTAGCTCTATTCCGTTTATTTTTATCTTTAAAAACTCCCTAGTCCTTGCCGATGACAAGCATACACATAACCCACAACTGCGTGGCCAAACACGACTCCAACACCATCATTAAGTTTGCTGACGACACAACGGTGGTAGGCCTGATCACCGACAACGATGAGACAGCCTATAGGGAGGAGGTGAGAGACCTGGCAGTGTGGTGCCAGGATAACAACCTCTCCCTCATAGCAAAGGGTCTGAATACTTATGTAAATAAGGTACGAGTTTTTTTTATTTATTATAAATTCGCAAAAATGTCTAAACCTCTTTTCGCTTTGTCATTATGGGATATTGTGTGTAGATTGATGGGGGGGGGGGGGGGGGGAATAATGTAATCATTTTTAGAATAAGGCTGTAACGTAATAAAATGTGGAAAAAGTCAAGGGGTCTGAATACTTTCCAAATGCACTGTAGCCCCTCTAGTAATTTAATAGCATCTCTATAGTTTGACACCCCTTGCTCTAGTGTGTGTATCCTGTACTGAACCTGTAACTGATTGGCTGGCTGTACTGAACGTCTAAAGGGCATATTGTGTTGAAAGCAACGGCTTCCAATTCCAAACACATAACTCGGTTTATCATAAGCATCTCCTAGCGGTATGGGAGGCAATGGGAAAAACATACTGTGGATGAGACAGTTGCGTAACCCTACGTGTGGCAGTGGCACGTATCCTAAACACAGCACGGGAACAAGCCATATCATGGAAGTCCTCCAGACACCCAAAGTTAACATTTGAATCAGTTCAAATGTGAAACCAGAAAACGACCATTAATAGGGCATTCATTTACAAGTGAAGAAGAGACCATTGCATTAGCCTATGTTAGCATTAGCCTACGTTAGCCTGTGTAAATACCGTTTTCAGTGTCACGTCTGCACTCAGTGTGCAGCTTGGAAAGGCAGGCTAGACTAGATTCTTGGATCTCAATCAATATTTTTTAGTATTGCCTTGACAATGATATCAGAGGAAACTAGTCCGTGTGAGATTGTCACTTACGATGTTTGCTCTATTCTACTGTAGCTACTAATATTTTTTTATGTCCTGATTTGATAAAGGAATCGTTCTCACCATAATCCTCACCACTATAGTACTTAACATTGGCTGTTCTAATAAATATAGGGCCTATATTAGAGATAACTATATGACTTGCATTTATTTTCCTCTGTGGGGAATATAGGATAATATATCCCCCAATTAAATGGAATAGCAGTTCTAGGTATTGAATAGTGCTTTCCCAAAATGTCAAGAGCTGTCAATGGGGTGACCTTGAGTGACAATGGTCCTACTAGCTTCCAAAAAACCTTGATAAACTTCCAAGTTCAAGCCGGATAGAATTTCTCATGAATTGCAAGCTACATATTAGCTCAAAATACATTTTAGGTAGCTTTTGATCATCTTTTATACATCTTAGAATATAATAGTATATAGCTATCTATAAATATAATAGATTGCTCTATTCTAAGCTGCTGTAACTAAGACGAGACCGCTTGCTAGCTGCAGCACTTCACATGGATGACTGACTGACTGGGAACGATTATGTAACGCGAGGAGGACATATTCTAAGGTCAGAATAGACTCCGACATTTGCCAGTTAGCTAATGCCACATCAAATTTAAAAAACATTCACAACATTAGTTGTTGTATTCGAGTTCATATCTCAAGTGTTACGACCTTTGTAGAAATAGAGAGCATTACAAATGGCTAGGTTGCCCACGTTTCCTCTATAAAAAGTTAGCTAACTGTTAGTTGTATAGCTAAACTAGCGACGCGTCAGAAATTAATATCCGGTTGATTAGTCTAGCTAGCTAGCAGTGAGAAGAACAATAGTTGGCCACCTGACATTGCATAACTAGACGAATGATACAATAAACACTTGTTAGCCAGTTAAAATACTGTTCTGGAATCGCTAGCAAAATTGCCGAATAACACAGTCCACCATTAGAACTAGCTAGCAACCTCATGTAGCGAGCGAGGCCTTCTCACTCCTTGGGAACGAGAGCAATTAGCTAGCTAGCTAGGTAGTGACATTTCGGTTTGGCGAGAATATGATTAGCTTGGTCAAGATGGAGCACAAATATTCTAAAAAACGACAAAGCAAGTTGCCGAGTACCCATCAATCTAACGCAATAGCTAACATAATTTACCACGAAAAAAGCAGAAGCCGACTAGATTCCTTTTAAAATATTCAGCTATGCTAACACTAGTTAGATAGAAAGGTCGGAAAGGAACACTTACCCCCCTGCGAAGAGATGTAATAGCGTATTATTATTATGTGCCATTTTTAAAAAATATAACCATAATCTTCTTTGTCTTCTCGTAAATGTAATCTTTATAAGTCAGAGGCGAAAATGTGGTTTATCTTCCTCATCAGCTGTCCACCCGGCTTTCTCTGAAGCTTTCCAAACTCTGACTAGTATTCTGCCAGCAGCACAAACGATGACGTCAGTTTCGTATGGTAACGACAAAACCTTCAAAATAATAGCCTGCATTTGAAAACGTTGCAATGTGGATAACTCATTCAAATGATATTGAATTTTAATCAATGGCCACTTTTATTGTGCCAACAAGAAAATGCAATAAGTAATTTCTGAATTTTTTTTTAAAAAAAGAGGGTTTTGAAAACATTTTTTAAAGACCAATAATGAAAAAATACAATGTTGACATTGGTATGTTGAGAGTATTGGGCTGTAGAGAGAACTGTCCTACCTGGCTCAGCTAAAGTGGGGTGGGAAATACTCACTAGGGTCTCTACAAACCAAATATGGTTCGTTTTGGAGGGGGACTGGAGTCAATAAGTATCCCATATACCATGTAATTGCATTGCAGTGAATAGAGTGGGTGGAGTAAAAGCCAATTTATGCTTGATCTGAAAATGTGGTCGGAAGCTTCGTACGGAGGGTATGACGCAATTGCGGAAGCCTCCGGAAGCATGCAGAGGCCTAATCAAGCTTCATTTTTACATTTTACATTTTAGTCATTTTAGCAGACGCTCTTATCCAGAGCGACTTACAGTTAGTGAGTGCATACATTATTAAATTTTTTTCATACTCGCCCCCCGTGGGAATCAAACCCACAACCCTGGCGTTGCAAACGCCATGCTCTACCAACTGAGCTACATCCCTGCCGGCCATACCCTCCCCTACCCTGGACCAATTGTGCGCCGCCCCATGGGTCTCCCGGTCGCGGCCGGCTACGACAGAGCCTGGATTCGAACCAGGATCTCTAGTGGCACAGCTAGCACTGTGATGCAGTGCCTTAGACGACTGCGCCACTCGGGAGACCAGCTTCGTTCTGCATCTCTGTGCGCCTCTCAAATGTTGTAACAATGCGAAGGGCTCTGTATAGCTCTGCATTGACATGATTGGTTGATGGTAGGTGGGGGGGGGGCGGTACGTCCTGTATAAACACAAACTTACCTCCTTGACAACTTCCTTCACAATAGCTCTGCTCTGTTCCGCTAAGCGCAAGAAGTATGAAAGCCCTGACGTCTGCATCGTAGTAAATGACCATGCAGAGTCTTTAAGGAGTCACAAGCACTCTGTATTAAACCCGTTGCCCAGCACAAGAGACCCATTTAAGTCTTGCAGACTCTATTGAGTATGTCCAATAACACATTTGTATTTCATTAAAAGTGTATTTCTTTAAATATACCCTACACAATAGCTTTCAACGTAACAGTATTTGTGTAAACTTTCAAAAGAAATGCTGATATAAATAATACACTATTACAATTAAAATATGTCAAATTATCAATTTATTTTTTCTAAGGTGGTTTCAGTGCTGTGAAAAACAATTGTACTGCACTATAGTGCAAAGCAACAAAAAAAAAATCGATATTCCCAAAGTTTAGCATTTCTTTGCAGGGGGACTCTTATGTTGAAAACAAAATCCGCGATCGTGCTGGCAGGATAATATCCTGCTGCTAGGAGAACGGTAATCAAATTCTGCGCAGAATCTGAAGAATGTAATTTGTGTCATGGGGGCTGGTCGGGGGCGTTGACCATGACGTGGAGAGGTCTGGCAACAACACAACCGGGAGCCTCTTTCATTTATTTATGGCAAGAAGATTGACAGAACAGCTGACAACAGAGAGATAAATCATGTATCTAATTAAACAATGTACTCAAGGGAGTGCATCTGATGTCCTATCCTGCCCTTCTCCTTCTTTTAGTCCAGGTTACTGATAAGAAAGAACTGGAACAGGTGGAAATAATTGTAAAGGGTTATATACCTTATAACATGTTACTTTCACTTAGCCAGTGTACTAAATTAGTACATAAAGGAGATTTTACGCGTTTTTAGATAATTGATGTTAAAGGTTTAAAAAATGACATCATTTTTATACAAATTTATAATCATCAAGAAATGATCAAATAGTTTGACAACCCTGTTTGAAAACGTTGAAATGATATCAAACTCAACCATTAGATTTTCCAGTGATGAAGACAAGGATGTGCAAAATGGGTCAACTTTGAGTGAGCACCTCTCCGAAATATTTGTAGAAGTGGTCAGTTACTTTCTGACCACTTTTACCAAGGGCAGATATATATATATAGAAAGTTTCATTCAAATCAAAAGGGGTGAGGTCAAAAAGTGATTGAAATCAAATGGAACGACCCAGAGGGGTTAGCAAGAGGAGGTCTTGATGCATACAGAGTGATTCAACTAGTGGGACACGCACAAGGCTAGCTTTATATCCATAGAGCAGTATGACTACACCTGGTCACTACACCTGGTGACCACTTCAGGGAAATCATATGGCATGTGCCCAATTCAAAATTCCAATCCAAGTCCCGTACCCCCTACCCTTCAGCACAATCATTGACCTTACCCCCCAAGGCACCCCAAGAACTGAAAGGACATGTAGTCAGCAGGCCTGGTAGAACATCAGAATCACCCTGGTAGAACATCAGAATCACCTTGGTAGAACATCAGAATCACCCCGGTAGAACATCAGAATCACCCCGGTAGAACATCAGAATCACATCTTAAATGGCTACTAAGGTGCAGGTGCTTTCATGTGTGTCTGTTAAAAAAAAAAAAATGTGTTTGTCATGGTTACATGTTTTGTCCTTGCGATTTATTGATGCGGAGTGATGAAACAATTTCATAAAGTACTACTCTACTGTCATGGTATCAAGGTTAATATCCTATGGAGTACAGACAGAGAAGTCATTCAACCACCTGGAAATCTGGTCAGTGGAAATCTGCTGACTGATCAGTGAACCAGTTTTTATTTTTTTATTTTACTCTGAGCAAAAATACAACTGGTTTGTTGACTTTTATATAGAAGTAGTAGACGTTCACTGTTTGGTTTTTGTTGCAGGAGGCAACACTGCAGAATTATCAGAGTAAAAAAAAAACTTTTGATCAGAGGTCTTTGTTCTGATCACACACACACACAGCTAAGCCACTACAGCAAACATTTCACTTGGGGTTGAATGTTTTATAAGAGATCCTTTTGACTTTTGCGATTCAACTAAACGGTCATTAAGGTAGCTGGTACTGTAAGGCCAGTATGTGCCCTTTGGTTTCCCCTGACGGTTAGATAAGGAAGATGCCGGTGGAGCTCCCTTTTCCTACTAATCAGACACCTTTATCCAAAGTGCGTGCATATTTTTCATACGGGTGGCCCCAGTGGGAATCAAACCCATGATCATTGCAACCGACAGATTAGTAAGGTTGAAATACAGTGTCAAGAAAAAGGTTGTGAACCCTTCAGAATTACCTGGATTTCTGCCTAAATAATTTTTGCGGGGCAGGACAGCTCAAACCAACATCTCCAATCTCGTCTCATTGATTGGACTCCATGTTAGCTGACTCCAATTCGTTTTTGGAGAAGTCATTAGCCTAGAGGTTCACATACTTCTTCCAACCTACACTGTGAATGTTTAAATGATGTATTCAATATAGACAAGAAAAATTACAATAATCTGTGTGTTATTAGTTTAAGCACACTGTGTGTACGTCTATTGTTGTGACTTAGATGGAGATCAGATCACATTTGATGACCAATTTATCCAGAAATCCAGGTAATTCCAAAGGGTTCACATACTTTTTCTTGCCACCGTCTTCACACAATTCAGAACCATTTCGATTCCCACTTGCTTCGGCTACCCTTGTTGATAGTTTTATTTATTTATTTATTTATTTATAGTTCGAGCGCCAATGAAATCATACAGAACAAAGTAACTTGACAGCACAACACAGAATATAATTTGAAATAAACTTTTATTATAGTTACAAACCATTTCATCAAGGAATACTAACAAAATGAGTAGTTGCAAGCGAGATAGACATTTAAAAAAAAATTACTATCAGCGCAGCACAGTCAAGGCTCAGCACAATGCCAAACGGACTACATCTGGACATTTAAAAATACTAGACAGAAAATGTCTCATAATATGACAATATGCTGTCAATAATTTGTACCCTCTTGGCATCACGTTGCAGCAGCACGTGTGGATTGGCTTTTCTCCAATTTTACTTTACATTACTATTGTACGTCCCAAATGACACCCTATTCCCTATACAGTGCACTACTTTAGACCAGAGCCCTATCGACCCCTGTCAAAAGTAGTGCACTATGTAGGGAATAGGGTGTCATTTGAACCTAATGATATCCAACTAAAACAAATAATAGCTAACTAATTAAAAAAAGACCCCATACCATCCAATAACACCCCACCCCCCCCCAGTCACGTTTCAGGATCCCCCGATCCCTCTACCCAAACAAGTCCTCTAAACACATTACAAAACATTCTGTATGGGTCCAAAGCAGGAAGAGAAATCATGGACACTGTACAGTGATTGGCTTGGTGGGCATTGAGAAAACATCAGCTGCTGGCGCACGCTACAAATGATCACAGCGATGTCATCCGTCAGTTTATATAAAAAGCTCTCCAATAAAAAACTGTCTTTAAAATCTACGGTGTCCCCAACAGTACATAAAACAACTAGGGCACTTCAAATATTACAGAAATAAAGTTAAAAGGGATTGCAGAGTTAAAGGGATTGTTCATCGAAAAAACTAAATAACATAATCTTGGTTTCCTTACCCTATAAGCATTCTATGGACAAGGGGAGACTAGGTAAACTAACCAAAAGCGTGGACTGCACTAGAATGATTGGGAACTAAATATGTCATTTGGTTGAACTATCCAGTTTAAGGGTAGGGGTTAAAGGTCACCTTGAGATACAAACTGTGGTGGTGGTGGTGATCTATCACCTCATCAACATTAGAGGTCAGTGCTGGTCTGTCCAGCCTACCGGCCCTAGCAGACAGCACTGCAGTGTAAACACGCTGGGTTAAAACCCCCCACTGGAGAAGTCAACCGTCTTCTACTGATGAGAGTGAGGACGGTGAACAGCAACTAACTTCATAAAACCTTTAAGAAAATCTCTCAACAATGATATAAAGGAGTACCATTTCATGGTGGTCCTCTGTAGCCGTAGGTAGAGCATGGTGCATGTAACGACAGGGTAATGGGTTCGATTCCCGGGTCCACCCATACGTAAAATGTATGCACGCATGACTAAAGTCACTTTGGATAAAAGAGTGCTAAATGGCATATATTATTGTTGTTCTGATAGACCATCAACAAGAGGGGGAATTATAAAGACATGAGAAATGGCAACACCTTGTGGTCAGAAAGTGTTGGTGTTTGGAAAATAATTATTTAACAAACTCAGCACTTCAATGGGGTCATAAAACTAATCTATGTACCACACAACTGCCCCTCCAAACACATCTATTCTACCACACAACTGCCCCTCCAAACACATCTATTCTACCACACAACTGCCCCTCCAAACACATCTATTCTACCACACAACTGCCGCTCCAAACACATCTATTCTACCACACAACTGCCCCTCCAAACACATCTATTCTACCACACAACTGCCCCTCCAAACACACCTATTCTACCACACAACTGCCGCTCCAACAAACTTAGGGAGTGAAAGGTTTGATTCCAGCACACTAATCTAACCATTTCCCAACAGGACATTACATTTACGTCATTTAGCAGACCCTCTTATCCAGAGCGACTTAAATTTAGTGAGTGCATACATTTTTCATGTCATACAGCCATCACTAATCTAACTATTTACCAACAGGACAAGTCGTACATGTGTCTCACGTGATTGATTTTTCATTTAAAAGCCAAACTGAAAACAAAAGGATTGAAAAGTAAATGACATTTAAGAGGTCAAAACAGACTGACATACCGTCAAACTCATTGCACTTCAATATACACAGACAGACATACAGGAGTCTCACTTGTCTTTACATGGTGGTCCTCATGACCAGCAGACATACAGGAATCCCACCGTGGCAGTCATCCTCTGGTCCTCATGACCAGCAGACAGACAGGAATCCCACCGTGGCAGTCATCCTCTGGTCCTCATGACCAGCAGACAGACAGGAATCCCACCATGGCAGTCATCCTCTGGTCCTCATGACCAGCAGACAGACAGGAATCCCACCGTGGCAGTCATCCTCTGGTCCTCATGACCAGCAGACAGACAGGAATCCCACCGTGGCAGTCATCCTCTGGTCCTCATGACCAGCAGACAGACAGGAATCCCACCGTGGCAGTCATCCTCTGGTCCTCATGACCAGCAGACAGACAGGAATCCCACCATGGCAGTCATCCTCTGGTCCTCATGACCAGCAGACAGACAGGAATCCCACCATGGCAGTCATCCTCTGGTCCTCATGACCAGCAGACAGACAGACAGGAATCCCACCGTGGCAGTCATCCTCTGGTCCTCATGACCAGCAGACAGACAGGAATCCCACCATGGCAGTCATCCTCTGGTCCTCATGACCAGCAGACAGACAGGAATCCCACCGTGGCAGTCATCCTCTGGTCCTCATGACCAGCAGACAGACAGGAATCCCACCGTGGCAGTCATCCTCTGGTCCTCATGACCAGCAAAGTTCTGTTTGAAGTCATCTGTCTGCATGTCATGTCCGTCACAGACGTGGATGTCTCAGTATATGATTAAAGTAAACCATAAAAACAGGAGTATAAACAGGGCCTAATATGTACTGTTAGGGTCCACCAGCCATTGTGGCAAGGTAGATGGGAGATAAAAAAAATCTACCAGCCACTCAGATTTTTTTTTAACCAGCCAAAATAGTTTTGCCATCATTACAAAAGAAAAACAGATGACCATGCTTTGTAATGTTTCTAAAACAAGAAATGTGTTAGTAAGAAGTACATTTCATATCATTTTTTGTCTTTTAAATCAAAAATATCTGAGACAAAATGTCCAGCTTCACCTTTAAGGGCGGGAGGTTACCGTAGTAACGGGGCCACTCGAGTTCTGTCACGTGTGTCTGTGTGACATTCGGGATCTGATTATGGCGTCTCTTCACCATCAGTTATAAGCAGCGGACTCAAACTAAAGTTGAAAAACAACCGAGCTTGTGAACAAAACAATTTAAAATAGCCAAGAAACACGGAGGACAAAGTCTCACTTTGTAGACTTTCAAGTAAATTAGACTAACTTTCATGCCCGTGCGCAGCGCCTACAAAAATGTATCTATCAGCACTTCACTCGGTGAGCTCAGCTCCCCTGCCAGGCAGTGTTGCTGCGCGACGTTGGATATAGGATTTATTTGCGCAATTAGCAGCGATGGTAGAAAATAGCAGAAATACTTAGAAAACAGCTACCGCAGTATTTTTCTAACATGTGCATGCATACTTGACTTTTGACTTTTTATTCGCGAATGTAACGCTGGCACTGTCGAGCCCTGCAAACTGACCACCCGCCAACGTGGCTGGTGAAAGACCTTCTTACCCGCCAATACCTAAATCTACCCGCATTGTGTGCGCCGATTATAAAAATCTAAAAAGACCTGACCCATCACCAACCACTGTCTCTATAGCTTCCTGAACAGGCCGAGCGTCACACAATGATGTTCTTCTCACTCTGTGGTGTAATGTGATTGGTGCAAACGAGCCCCGAGGGCTGGGTTGGGAGGATAAGTCAGAGTTCAAACCCAGAGGCTGGAGTGATGTTGGGTTGCTGAACTGGTTGGTTTACCCTCAATAGGTACATCCCAAAGATGGAGAGCGAGGGTTGAGGCGTGCTCTGTGTATGTATTGATGGCACAGACGTGGCAGTCAGGGGACAGAGAGAGAGAGATGTTGTGAGGGAGTCCCAGACCCAGTCCCTCCCTTGGTCATTGGTAGTTCTTGACGGAGGCCAGTAGGGGTGGGCTGTGGTTCTGAGCCTGTGCTCGGTGTCCATAATGAGGGTTGTGAGGGGACAGGACAATCCCTAGTTAGGGGACAGGACAATCCCTAGTTAGGGGACAGGACAATCCCTAGTTAGGGGACAGGACAATCCCTAGTTAGGGGACAGGACAATCCCTAGTTAGGGGACAGGACAATCCCTCGGGGTTGTCGTCGGTAGTTGTTGATTATGGACAGAGGCGGACAGTGACACTCAGTGTGTGTTGTGAGTGAAGGGCACAGGGCAGCCCGTTTGGTAGTTCTTGAGGCAGACCGTGGATCTGAGGCATGTTCAATGTCGTCGTGCTCAGGGGCCCGGGGTCATTGGTAGAGAAGGTAGTTCTTGAGAGAGGCCGGCAGGGGCAGACCATGGATGTCACTCAGTCGTTCTCTGCCCAGAGCTACCCTCACAGAGCACCGACACAGCTCCAGCAGAGGGAGAGGCTCAGCTGGAGAGAAAGAGAGATTTAGAGTGCAGCAATATAGACTTTCACATTTAGTTTAACTTCAATATCAGCGAGAGCATGACACACCCCCCACCCATCCAATCATAACTGTCCTGTTGTACAACAACAACTTGTTTTGATGAACATTTTACTACCGTGATTACGTCATGCTTATTTGTATTAGTGTACAAGGAGTGAATTGCTCCCGTACAACAACATGTTTTGAAAAACATGTATTTTCTCATTAGAAACCACGTTCCCCCGAGAGGAGAAGAGTGGACGAGGAGTCATGAGGGTGAGTCAGTCCAGTCCATTGGGAGTCATTTCCCACTAGTCACAGGCATCGTGTTTTGTTTTTGTCCACGGAGGTTTGTTTCACCCTTCAAAGCCACAATGCTTTCTTTTCTAAACTAGAGCGGGAATCTAGGAGCCAGAGTTTTTCATGGTCAAATCACATGGCAAGGAAAAACTCCTGGGCCTTGTGAATACTCTTGAAATGAATGCTTCATTCCACGCTTCTGGCAATGCAATGGAAAGCTTGTTATAGTACACCATTCTACGTATGTCAGATCAGTGATTACTTAAAGACCATTCTTGTGACTCCTTGCTACCCAGCCCGAGAGGTAGCAGTCAAATCCTAAGATTTTACATTTTAGTCATTTAGCAGACGCTCTTATCCAGAGCGACTTACAGTTAGTGAGTGCAGTATTTTTGTTAATTTATTTTTCTCCATACTGGCCCCCCGTGGGAATCGAACCCACAACCCTGGCGTTGCAAGCGCCATGCTCTACCAACTGAGCTACACGGGACTAAGATGGTAGAAGAGAAAAAGATGTGATCAACAGGATTGTCTCTGGGGCATCGGTCAGAGAGGTAAAGTGATGTTATCACGATGCCAGTGGCACCTTATCAGGTAGTGCCCAACTGGCTTGGATAACAGTTAGGATCAATGGCTGTTAGCCTGGTCCCAGATCTGTTTAGCTTGTCTTGTTGAATTGCAGTTTGAGAAAACAACTGCACAAACAGATCTGGGACCACGCTAGCCTAACGGTGTAGTCTGTAAGCCTCTAACCTGATCTGTGAAGTTTCTGTTAACTCCTGTGGTCATAGTCACGGCCAGCAAGACAAAATGTGCGAAAATGATCCTAGAAATAAGCAAGACAGCACCAACAGATCTGGGACCACGCTAGCCTAATTGTAGTCTGTTCTAGCCTGATCCAAGATCTGTTTGTGTTGCCTTGCCAACACCTATACATTAACAGTAACCATAGGAATTGGCAAGAGCACAAACTGATCTGGAACCAGGCAAGAAAGCCTAGATGCTCCGGTGTAACCTTGGTGTGCAGTAATGTGTTTTAAATGGGCCCAACTGTTGAATGGACTGTTACAGTTATGCTCAAGTGTCATTCTGGACACAGTCCAAATTTGTGTCTATGATTTAGTTATGAATCACGTCAGTCTGTACAACCACAACCCAATGTCTAGACAGACAGACAGAGCTGCTAAAGCTCCCTAGGAGGAAGCATTAGCGGGATGGCTAGGATCACGGGCAGTAGCCCTTACGTTGTCAAACGTTACAGATAAAAAAAAAAAATGGTCATGAATAGAGCCAACATTATTCCTGATCATAAATGCCACGTCAGAGAGGCATGTTTGTTCTACACAGCATATTTATATCTGAACGTTCCAGAATGTCGTGTCCTGCTGAAAGCGCCCAACAGCTGGCCGTGAGACATGGCTCTAGTAGACTCCTATAGCGTTTAGAAAGTCTAAAACTGTGTCTCATGTAGGGCTGCACGATTAATCGAAATTCAGATGATCGAAATTGTGATATTGGCATGTGCAATATTCATATCGCAAGAGGCTGCGATTTTCTCCTTTCTTTGACACTCCGTTAATACGACAAAAACTAGCCTACGCCACCTCCTCCAGTGAGATGTGCTAGACTCACTTTCTACATGCACAATAGGATGCTGACCAATCACAAGGGGGCTCTCTAACTCTGCATGGCATGCTGGCCAATCACGCCTCAGCCACCAATGTTAAAAAGGCATTGATTGCCGATGCGTTTTCAAGGGTAACACCCTATGAAAAAACATCTCGTAGACACATAGAAATCACTGAGGCTATCGCCTATCACATAGCCAAAAGACATGGTTCCTATTTATTTATTGAATTGCATTGTTGGTTAAGGGCTTGCAAGTAAGCGTTTCACTGTTGTATTCGGGCGCATGTGACAAATAAAATAGGATTTGATTTACAGTCAGCAAAGACAGCTTCAAGAACACGATAAACAAGCTGGACAGGAGATACAAGATTCCATCTCGCACATATTAAAAAAAAAAAAAAAAAAGGTCCTTAATTCATAAATCGCAATATCTGGCCAAAGAACATTGTAATTAGATATTTTGTCCAAACCGTGCAGCCCTAGTCTCAGAGCAAAGACAAAAGCCAACCCTGAACCCCTTAGATAATATATATATATACACTTACGATCGAGTCCATTGATGTAGCGGATTCGTATTTCACAGTGCCCCCACACAGCACTGACGACAGGGTACAGCTTCCTCCCCTTGAGCCCTCTGAAAGCCACCCCCAGGTACTGTCCGTCCACTATATAGCTCAGAGTCCCCTCGTCCATGTCCAACACTACCAGGAACGAGTCGGGGACTAGAAACGTCTCATCCGGCTCCAGGAATGCAGGGTATGCCTTACTGGGCTGGTTCTTCCCATCGTGGTGGAGTTTATTCCGTCCCAGGTCCCAGCCCCAGGACTCGTGGTTATTACCCACCAGGGCTGTGTATCCTACAGAATGAAGGGGCGCGTCTCCTGTCGCCACGCCAACAACGGCGTGCGTTCCCCGCTGCCTCATGGCCCAGCTGATCTCCCAGACGTGGAGCCCCCGGGTGTAGCCGATACAGGCCCGGATGGCGTCCGTGCTCTGAGCCACGGGGTGCCGGTGGAAGACCAGTTTGTTGTCGTCCTTGACGAAGATGTTGAGGGATCGGTCGTTGTTGTTCCAGGAGTGCTGCATCTGGACCTCCTGTCCAGCAGGGGGCATGTCCAGCAGCAGGTCCAGCCTGGAGGGCTTGGCGTGGTCCAAAGCTGCCAACTCCAGCTTCAGAGGCCTGAACGCCGGGTCCCTCATGTCAATAGTCTTTATGCCTCCAGGGACGCTCTGCCCCATGCTCCTCTGGGAAGATAGAACACACAGAGAGCCTGAGTCCACCTGCTCCTCCCCCTTCCTCAAAAAAAAAAAAAAAAAATGAAAAAAAAAGAGGGGAGCAAATCAAAATCAGTCGATTGTCAGTTTCCCCCTCCTCTCCACCTCCACAGCCAATCAGGAGGCTGGATCGGTGGCCCTGCTACTGGTTGTCGGTTAACAGAGTCAGGCCAGCTGCTGGTTCAATCCCACCTGAGAAGAGATAGGAGGAAGGGAAGATGGAAGAACGTTAATTACACTACAGTTCATTGGCTTCCTATTTCCCAATCACTATAATATGGGCCTGTGTGGCTCAGTTGGTAACAGCCTGGAGCTAGTAACAGGGTTTATACTATAAATGCATGCACATAATGTACTATAAGTCGCTTCGGATAAAAAATAAATAACATCTGCTAAGTGGCAAAATATTCTATTACTTATATGACATTAGATAATATACATTTCAGATAAATACATGTGGCACCATAACATTCAGTTCAGTGGGATAATGGCCGGAAAATATTTACCATGCCCTCCAACAGGACCAAGATGGTTTACCATGCCCTCCAACAGGACCAAGATGGTTCACCATGCCCTCCAACAGGACCAAGATGGTTTACCATGCCCTCCAACAGGACCAAGATGGTTTACCATGCCCTCCAACAGGACCAAGATGGTACACCGACTACTTTCACGTCATGTAGCTGACACACAAGTCATAGTACACATTCGCATTTCATAACTGCTTCAGTGCCTTAACCCACATCTGCTGGCTGATCAATGGACTATGGCTGGTTGATATACATGCTAGCCTTGTTAAAACCTGACTGAATGACAAACTGTGCTTATGTTTGATCTTATCTTGATTATTGTCCAGTCATGTGGTCAAGTGCTGCAAAGAAATATCTAGTTAAGCTGCAGCTGGACCAGAACAGAGCGGCACGTCTTGCTCGTCATTGTAATCAGAGGGCTGATATCAATCCTATGCGTGCCAGCCCCTCTTGGCTAAGAGTTGAGGAAAGACTGACTGCATCACTTCTAGTTTTTTTATAAGAAATATTGTGTTACACACAGCACTGACACACACACTTCCCAAAATACATGCCACCAGGGGTCTTTTCACAGTGCCCAGGTCCAGAACAAATTCAAGGAAATGCACAGTATTATACAGAGCCATGGTTGCATGGAACTTCCTTCCATTTCATATAGCACAAGTGAACAGCAAAGCTGGTTTCAAAAAAACTAATAAAGCAACAGTGCCTCTTCCCCATGTGACCTACTTGTTGTGTGTAACTGATAGATGCACACGCACACCACACGTTAATGTATGTAAAATTGTAAAGTACAGTGCATTCGGAAAGTTCAGACCCCCTTCAACTTTTCCACATTTTGTTACGTTACAGCCTTATTCTAAAATGGATGAAATAAAAATTTCCTCAATCTACACACAATTTCCCATAATGACAAATCGAAAACAGGTTTAGATATTTGTGCACATTTATTAAAAAATAAACTGATGCTTCACTATGAGACTCGAAATTGAGATCAGGTGCATCCTGTTTCCATTGATCATCCTTGAGATGTTTCTACAACTTGATTGGAGTCTACCTGTGGTAAATCCAATTGATTGGACATTATTTGGAAAGGCACACACGTCTATATAAAAAGGTTCCACAGAGCAAAAACCAAGCCATGAGGTCTGAGACAGGATTGTGTCAAGACACAGATCTGGGAATGGGTACCAAAAAATGTCTGCAGCATTGAAGGTCCTCAAGAACAGTGGCCACCAAAACTCTTCCTAGAGCTGGCCGCCCTGCCAAACTGAGCAATCGGGGAAAAGGGCCTTGGTTAGGGAGGTGACCAAGAACCTGATGGTCATTCTGACTGAGTAACTTTGTGGAGATGGGAGAACTTTCCAGAAGGACAACCATCCCTGCAGCACTCCACCAAATCAGGCCTTTATGGTAGAGTGGCCAGATGGAAGCCACTCCTTAGTAAAAAGGCACATGACAGCCCGCTTGGGCCAAAAGGCACCTAAAGACTCTCAGACCATGAGAAAAGATGAAACTCTTTGGCCTGAATGCCAAGCATCACGTCTGGAGGAAACCAGGCACCGCTCATCACCTGGCCAATACCATTTTCAGCGGCAGGGGCTGGGAGACTAGTCATGATCAAGGGAAAGATGAACGGAGCAAAGTACAGAGAGATCCTTGATGAAAACCTCAAGAGCGCTCAGGACCTCAGACTGGGGTGAAGGTCCAACAGGACAACAACCCTAAGCACACAGGCAAGACAATGCAGGAGTGGCTTCGGGACAAGTCTCTGAATGTCCTTCAAACATCTCTGGAGAGACCTGAAAATAGCTGTGCAGCGACACTCCCCATCCATCCTGACAGAGCTTGAGAGGATCTGCAGAGAAGAATGTGAGAAACTCCCCAAATACAGGTGTGTCAAGCTTGTAGCGTCATACCCAAGAAGAATTGAGGTTGTAATCGATGCAAAAAGGTGCTTTAAAAAAGGTACTGAGTAAAGTGTCTGAATACTTAAGTAAATATTTCAGTTTATATTTTTTTAAACTTGTTTTTGCTTTGTCATTATGGGGTATTGTGTGTAGATTGATGAGGGGGAAAAAACTATTTAATCCATTTTAGAATTAGGCTTTATCGTAACAAAATGTGGAAAAGGTGAAGGGGTCTGAATATTTTCCGAATGCAACATTCTACAAAACGACGTCGGAGGCAGCTTACGGTAAAGAAATTCACATTCAATTCTCTGGCAACAGCTCTGGTGGACATTCCTTTAGTCAGCATGCCAATTGCACGCTCCCTCAAAACTTGAGACATCTGTGGCATTGTGTTATGTAATGATCATGCTGTTTAATCAGCTTCTTGATATGCCACACCTGTCTGGGGGATGGATTATCTTGGCAAAGGAGAAATGCTCACTAACAGGGATGTAAACAAATTTGTGCTCAATTTGAGAGAAATAAGCTTTTTGTGAGTATGGAAAATCTGTGATCTTTTATTTCAGCTCATAAAAACACTTTACATGTTGCTTTTATATTTCTGTTCAGTGCATGTTATTGTCCTGCTGAAAGGTGAATTCATCTCCCACTGTGTTGGAAAGCAGACAACCTGGTTTTCCTGTAGGACTTTCCCTGTGCTTAGCTCCATTCAGTTTCTTTTTTATCCTGAAAAACTCCCCAGTCCTTAACGATTACAAGCATACCCATAATACGATGCAGCCACCTCTATGCTTACAAAAATATGGAGAGTTGTACTCAGTAATGTGTTGTATTTACCCCAAACATAACACTTTGTATTCAGGACAAAAAGTTAATTGCTTTGCCACATTTTTTGCAGTATTACTTTATGGCTTTGTTGCAAACAGGATGCATGTTTTGGAATATTTTTTTTTTATATGTACAGGCTTCCTTCTTTTCACTCTGTCAATTAGGTTAGTATTGGGGAGTAACTACAATGTTGTTGATCCATCCTCAGTTTCCTCCTCTAAAAGCCATTAAACTCTGTAACTGTTTTAAAGTCACCACTGGCCTCATGGTGAAATCCCTGAGCGGTTTCCTTCCTCTCCGGCAACAGAGTTAGGAAGGACGCCTGTATTTTTCAAGTGACTGGGTGTATTTGATACACCATCCGAACTGTAATTAATAACGTCACCATGCTCAAAAGGGATATTCAATGTCTGCTTTTTCTATTTATTTGTACCCATCTACCAATAGTTGCCCTTCTTTGCGAGGCATTGGAAAGCCTTCCTGTTTTTTTGTCATTTAATCTGTGTTTGAAATTCACTGCTCGACTGAGGGACCTTACATATAATTGTATGTGTGTGGTACAGAGATGAGGTAGTCATTCAATAATCATGTTAAACAACATTAGTGCACACAGAGTTAGTCTACGCAACTCATTATGTGACTTAAGCAAATATATATATACTCCTGAACTTATTTAGGCTTGCCATAACAAAAGGGGTTGAATACTTATTGACAGTTTAGACTTTTAGTTCATAATGAGTAAGATTGTGTGGACAGATCCTAGATCACCCCTCCTACTCCGAGAAGCTTTGTGGATACGGGCCGTGATGTCATCAACTCATGTGACACTGTGTCCACGGAACAGATTTTATTAAATCATGTCTTCAGAATATTTGAAAAATTCCATGAAATAATTCCAAGTAATGCTTGAAGAAAAGGTTGAGGGCAACGTCATAGCTTATTGCCGAAAGAAATGCCCCTCCTGGAAAGGCATAGTAAGCCTAACGAACTCAATGATGGTGCATAAAAATACAATTTTGAGCTCACCGGTCCATAGAGAATTGATTAGATGAACTCGATTTAAAATGTTTTTTCCAGCTAAATTTAGGTCCTTAAATTATCAGAAATGACTCACAAAAACAACTGACAGCCTTCAAGACGTAGACAACTAAGGAAGACTGGGTGTGTTAACCAACTAATATTTGTGGTTTCACATTCAGCAAGTGGGGAAAACACAAACAGCATTATTTGCAACTGCGAGGCCCTGCTAGTGTAAACAGACAGACAGAGGGCAAGACAGCTGCTAGGTCCTAGATTTCCATCTCTGCAGTAAACTTCAGTGTTCAGACAAACTAAAATATGGCCACAATTTCAAAAAATAGGAAATAAAAAAAAGAGGGCAGAAAGCTCGAAGTCAGGGCTAGCCGTCACAGTTGTCTGGTCGGGGCTAGCCTTCACAGTTGTCTGGTCGGGGCTAGCCGTCACAGTTGTCTGGTCGGGGCTAGCCGTCACAGTTGTCTGGTCGGGGCTAGCCGTCACAGTTGTCTGGTCGGGGCTAGCCGTCACAGTTGTCTGGTCGGGGCTAGCCGTCACAGTTGTCTGGTCGGGGCTAGCCGTCACAGTTGTCTGGTCGGGGCTAGCCGTCACAGTTGTCTGGTCGGGGCTAGCCGTCACAGTTGTCTGGTCGGGGCTAGCCGTCACAGTTGTCTGGTCG